TTACTCTGACCTGCTCTCACCTTCTCCCTCTCCTCCCGCCCCTTGGGCCCGGCAGCCAGGGGAAGGAAGGCCAGCGGATACCTCTCCCAGACTGGCCGCAGGAGGCTCCAGGTTCCAAGTGTCTGGCCCCGTGCCCTGGCAGAGATGCAGCGGGCCGTTTCCTGGCCGTAGCCTTTCTGCCCCAATCATCTCGCCCCTTGGTTGGCTGGAGAGCAGGGTCTGTCTTCTGTCAGGGTCTCTAAGAGCAGGTCTGCATCTCCTCTCTGTGACCTGTCCTCCTCAGCGCTGTCCTGGGCCTGGCTGATGCTCAGAGATGTGGAGTGTTCCCAGGCAAGGCCAGGGCCTTGGGTTGGGGGGCAGGGAGGTTTCCTGGAGTGAGACCAGCTTTTTTCTTTATTGTAATTTATTTATTTATTTGGTTTGTGGGGTAATTTCTTTTTTTTTGTGGGGGCGGGGGGGGCGAGTTTCCACCCTTCAGGCCCCTAAAATGCTGCCCTGGTGTGTGTGGATTGAGAGGGGCAGCATTTCCCAGACTCCAGCTAAAAGTCCACAGTGAGCTCTGCTTACCATGAGTTAGAACTCCTTAAAAAGGGGCTGAATTGGGAGGCCTCCTGGTGAACTGTGCCAGCTCGCAGGCTCACTCAGCTCGCGTGGTATCATTAAATACTCGTGGGTTGATTGATTACTCGCAGGTGTGATTAAGTAATTAAGCTGAGGAGCCACTTGGAGCCGCCAGGTGCCCACCCTTGAGGTTTTCGCAGAACCAGCTGGGCCAGAGCCTCCGCTCCACCCCAGGGATGAAGCTGGCAGCCTGGGCTCCTCGCAGGCCCCCCACGGCCAGCCCCCCACCCCCTCCGTGCCACCAGGCTGCTGTGGCTTCCATGACCCGGGCACAGCACCGGCCCTGCCTCGCCTGAGCTCAATCCCTGTTGGCTGTGACGCCGTTGCCCCATTTTGCTTCCATTAAAAATGTCTGTGTATTTCCAGAAAAAAAAAAAACACATAAAGGGGAGGGAATAAAAGGGAAGTTATTGTATAAAATCAAAGTTGTAGTCAGTGTAAAATGGACTTGTATATCTAGATGAAGTTTTATATAAGCTCCAGTAACCACACAGCAAAAAACCTACAATAGATTCACAAGAGAGGAGAAGGAAGATGCAAGGAAGAAAGAATTCTACCCAGAGTCTTAGAGGGTGGTGGCCCTCCTGATACCTTGATATAGGACTGTGATGCAATAAATTTCTGTTGTCTTAAAAGAAACAAAACCCCACCTATAAAAAAAAAGAAAGAAAAAAAAGAGCACATAGTCTGTGGTTCCATTTACATAAAAGTCTAAGAAGTGCAAACTAATCTCTAGGTATAGAAGCCAGATCAGTGGTGGCCTTGGGATGGGGAGGGCAGGAGGAGGGGGTGGCATGACTGAAGTGATGGTTTCATGGGTGTATACACAGAATGTCAAAACTTACTAAGCTGTCGTTAAACACAGTTAAGCAATATTGACTGTATCCCCTCTGCTTTACTTCACATCCCCGTGACTATTCTGTAACTACCAGCTTGTCCTTCTTAGTCCCTTCACCTTTTCACCCAGCTCCCTAAACCCTCTTCCCTCTGGCAATCATCAGTCTGTTCTCTGTATCTATGAGTCTAAATATGCAGTACAATTTATTGTATGTCAATTCCACCTCGGAAAAGCTGTTAAAAATGGAATAGAGCACGGCTGGTGTGGTTCAGTGGTTGAGCTTCCCCCTGTGAACCTGGTGAACCAGGAGGTTATGGTTTGATTCCCAGTCACAACACATGTCCAGTTTGCGATTTGAGCCTCAATGTGGGGTGTGCAGGAGGCAGCCGATGAATGATTCTCTCTTATCATTGATGTTTCTATCTCTCTCTCCCTCTCCCTTCCTCTCTCTGAAATAAATGCATATATTTTTAAATACAAAGTTTAAGAAAAAAGGATCTCTACACTTTAAATAGTCCACTGAGTTACATTAAGTGTTTACTATCTATTATTTTCTCAAATTCAAAAAATATTTATTTCCTAAGAACATGTCAACAAGAATTCATTTCAAACCATTTAGTTGGTGTTATGTCAATGAAGCGAGATTCCTTGGCTATCTTAAGTCACATTAGTTGACTGTGAAATTTCTTTTTTTTTTTTTTGACAGTGAAATTTCTCAATATTTTTAAAATATATTTTTATTGATTTCAGAGAGATAGAGGGAGGGAGGGAGAAAGAGAGAAGCATCAATGATGAGAAAGAGAATCATGGATCGGCTGCCTCCTGCACAATCCCCACCAGGGATCAAGCCCAAAACCTTGCATGTGCTCTTAACCGGAATTGAACCCGGGACCCTTCAGTCCGCAGGCTGACGCTCTATCCACTGAGCCAAACCAGCTAGGGCTCTCAATCTTCTTTACATCATGAGCGTGGTTGGTCTATACACCAAACAAACTAAATCTGTTACTTTAATACACAGACTCTTATAAGAATGTAAGAACCACATACATTTTCAGAGTCAGCAAGGTAAGTCTTATCAGCTGCATGGCTGAACTTCTCCCAGGTCTGGGACTGTGGCATTATGGGCCAGGATGGAAAGGAAATGGGAAAGGCTGTGGGACCAGAAGTAGTAAACCCAACCCACTGACCTACCTCTTACCACTACCAATAAACTCAAATTAATGGAGAAAATACAGATTAAAAATAAATGATGTTGGGTCAACTGAGTAACCAAATAATAATAAAAAAGATGAATCTATACTTCCTACCTTTCCAAGGATTAATTAATTTCAAACTGAGATCAAGGATTTAAATGTAAAAAGTAAAACCACAACCATGCTCATGGATTTGAAGGATTAATATTGTTAAAATATCCTTACTACCTAAAGCAATATACAGATCCAATGCAATCCCTGTTAAAACACCAATGGCATTCTTCCCAGAACTAGAAGTAATCCTAAACTTATATGGAACTACAGAAGACTCCTAATAGCCAAAGAAAACTTGAGAAAGAACAAAGTGGGAGGTGCCATGCTTCCCAACTTCAAACTATATTACAAAGCTACAATAATTAAAACAGCAAGGTACTGGCATAAAAACGTATAGGTATATAGATATATAGAGATAGATAGATAGGTAAATGGATAGATCCATGGAATAGAATAGAGAACACAGAAATAAATTATTTTTTATACAGTAAATCTATAACAAGACAAGGATATACAATGGGGTAAAGACAGTCTCTTCAGTAAGTGGTGTTGGGAAAATTGGACAGATACATACAAAAATGAAATGGGACCACTTTCCTACACCACATACAAAAATAAACTCAAAATGGTAAAGACTTAAATGTAAGACCTGGAATCATAAACTCCTAGAAGAAAACGTAGCCAGAAAACTCTTTGACATAACTCTTAGAAATATCTTTTGGATATGACTCCTTGGCAAGAGCAATGCAAGAAAAAGCAAACAAATGGGACTACATCAAACTATGTTTACCACAGGGAAGAATACCATCAACAAAATGAAAAGACAATCTACTGAATGGGAGAAGATATTTGCAAATGATACATATGTAAGAGGTTAGAATACAAAATATATAAAGAATTCACACACCTTAACACCAAAACACAATCCAATTTTGCCCCTTTGTGAGCACAAAACACAAACCTATGAACCAGGAGGTCGCTGTTTGATTCCTGGTCAGGGCACATGCCCAGTTTGCAGGCTCATCGCTAGTGTAGGGGGTGCAGGAGGCAGCCAACCAATGATTCTCTCTCATCATTGATGTTTCTCTCTCTCTCTCCCTCTCCCATCCTCTCTGAAATCAATAAAAATATTTTTAAACAAAAGTTAAATACACACCTATATTCTACTCATAGGAATTTATTCAGAAGAAATGTAAACTTGTTCACAGTAGCTTAATTTGTAACAGCCAGAAAACCAGAAACAACCCAAAGATCCAGGTGAATGGATAAACACACTGCTATACAGCCAACAATGGAACACTACTGAGTAATAAAGTCGATGGATACAAGCAACATTGGACGACTCTCAAAATATGCTGAGTGAAAGAAGCCAGATTAAAAAAAGCACATAGTCTGTGGTTCCATTTACATAAAAGTCTAAGAAATGCAAACTAATCTCTAGGAATAGAAGCCAGATCAGTGGTGGCCTTGGGATGGGGAGGGCAGGAGGAGGGGGTGGCATGACTGAAGTGATGGTTTCATGGGTGTATACACAGAATGTCAAAACTTACTAAGCTGTCGTTAAACACAGTTAAGCAATATTGACTGTATCCCCTCTGCTTGACTTCACATCCCCATGACTATTCTGTAACTACCAACTTGTACTTCTTAGTCCCTTCACCTTTTCACCCAGCTCCCTAAACCCTCTTCCCTCTGGCAATCATCAGTCTGTTCTCTGTATCTATGAGTCTAAATATGTAGTACAATTTATTGTATGTCAATTCCACCTCGGAAAAGCTGTTAAGAACGGAATAGAGCACAGCTGGTGTGGTTCAGTGGTTGAGCTTCGACCTGTGAACCTGGTGAACCAGGAGGTCATGGTTCGATTCTAGGTCAGGACACATGTCGGGGTTGCAGGCATGACCCCCAGTGTGGGGCGTGCAGGAGGCAGCCCATGAATGATTCTCTCTCATTGTTGATGTTTCTCTCTCCCTCTCCCTTCCTCTCTGAAATCAATACAAATATATTTAACAACAACAAAAGGACTAGATAGCTCTGGTCCGGCAGCTCAGTTGGTTAGAGCATTGTCCTGATATGCCAAGGCTGTGGGTTTGATTCCCAGTCGGGGCAAATACAAGAATCAATCAGTGGGCACATAAATAAATGAAAAACAAATCTCTCTGACACCAATAAATTTTAAAAACGGAAGATACAAAGTTTATAAAATACATGTAGGGTATAACAAATAATGAAATAATAGCACATTCTCTGTATCCATTGCCCAGTTTTGTGGTTTTTTTTTTAAATAATGTAATCATTATTTTTAAAAACTGCTGTGGTCCCCAACCAGCCTAAAGCTGGGGCTTTTCTTGTTAAAAGTAGAAGGATGTTTGAAAATATTTCTGAATGCTTGAGCTTTCAGAAATTTTGTGTATTCAGATTTACCAGTCTTTCTTTCCCTTTATAGCTTCTTCCCCACTCTGAGAACCGACACGTGCAGTTTGAGCGCTTCGTGGTGGCCGCCGGGGAGAACACGCACCCGGCGACCCGGTGGCCGATGGCTCCATGGCCGTGGTGGTCTGCACCCTGGCCCTGTGCTCCGCGGAGAACCAGGAGCGCATCCTCCAGGAGGCGTGCAGAGTGCTGAGGCCGCGCCTGTCAGCGTGTGAGCAGGGCCGGTTAGCAGCAACCGCATCACCTCGAGCGGGCCTATCACTTTCAGCTGCATCAATGCTATGTGAACATCCCGGGGAACCATTTCTGTCTAAGTTAGCTGAATAATGTGGTGCACGGTCTGAAACTGAAACCTGCCCTTTAAAAGATGGTCGGCCCAAAACAGCGACTTAAAAATAACTGTTGAGTTAGGAACCTCTGACTCTCAGCCCAGAACGCGAAAGGGAAATTTCTGAACTGTGGCCGGTAGGCGCGTCCTTTCAATTTCCTTTTAAACAACTCAGTGGGGGGCGGGGTGGGGTGGGGGGGAGGAGGGAGAGGAGGGAGAGGAGGAGGGGTGTTGGCTTCCGCTGTGGTTCAACCCGGCTCCACCCGCGGGTCCTGTCTCCTTTGTCCAGGGCGTTGGGAGACCTGGGCCCGGAGTGAGCGCGCTGCGCGGAGAGCACTGGGCTGGGAGCTAGCAGCCGTCTCCAAACCCAGAGACGGGGGAGCAGGAGCAGATTCGGAACCAGGCACTGTCAGCCCCTTTCCTTCGGAGGAGAAGCCGGGAACCCCCTCCTCATTTTGCTTCGTGAAAACTACGCTGAGTCAACTTTCGCCCACGTCTCCTGATTGGGCGAGACGGGCCACCTGCCCAGGATCGGACCTCGGCCCCGCGTTCGGTCCTGGCACCGCCCGTTCTCCCCTCCGAGGCTGATTGGCTCTGGGACGTGGCCAGGAGCCTCCCTCCTGCACTTAAAGGAGTCCGCTCTCTGAGCCGTGGTTTTTTGTTTTGTTTTTCCTCTTCCGAGGGATGGCGCTTACCATCTTCATCCTGCAGCTGGCCGTCCGCATCCTGGCATGCCCCTTGTACCTGCTGAACTTCCTGGGCCTGTGGAAGGGGATATGCAAAAAGTGCTTCTTCCCCTTCTTCTTGGTGAGGTGCACCGCCACGTACAACAAGCAGATGGCGAGCCACAAGCGGGAGCTCTTCAGCAGCCTGCAGGAGCACGCGAGCCCCTCGGGGGAGCTCTCCCTGCTGGAGCTGGGCTGTGGCACCGGGGCCAACTTCAAGTTCTATCCGCCCGGATGCAGGGTGACCTGTGTTGACCCCAACCCCAACTTTGAGAAGTTCTTGATCAAGAGCATCGCTGAGAACCGACACGTGCAGTTTGAGCGCTTCGTGGTGGCCGCCGGGGAGGACATGCACCCGGTGGCCGATGGCTCCATGGACGTGGTGGTCTGCACCCTGGTCCTGTGCTCCGTGGAGAACCAGGAGCGCATCCTCCAGGAGGTGCGCAGAGTGCTGAGGCCGGTGAGTGTCAGCGTGTGAGGAGGGCTGGTTAGCAGCAACCACATCACCACGAGCGGGCCTATCACTTCCAGCTGCATCAAACGTTCTAATGTAAAGAGAAGACACTATTGATTTTTTAAAAAATAATCTTAGAGTGGGGAAGAAGCTATAACGGGAAAGACTGGTAAATCTGAATACATAAAATTTTTAAACTGCAGGGAGGACTGAAGGGTCCCGGGTTCGATTCAGGTCAAGGGCACATGCCTGGGTTGCGGGCTCGATCCCCAGGAGGGGGCGTGCAGGAGGCAGCCAATCAATGATTCTCTCTCATCATTGATGTTTCTATCTCTCTCCCTCTACCTTCCTCTCTGAAATCAATAAGAACATTTAAAAAAAAAAAAAGAAATTAAACTGCAGGGGGAATAGTACTACAAACAAGAACAAACTTAGAAAAAATATTTGCCAGCAACGATAGACAAAGGGTTAACTTTCTTCTGATTAAATGACATTACTAGTCAAAGGTCAGTAGGATTTTTTACAATATGTTTTTATTGATCTCAGAGTGAGGAAGGGAGAGGAGAGATAGAAATATCAGTGAGAGAGAAACATTGATTGGATGCCTCCTGCACACCCCCTTCTTGGGATCGAGCCCGCAACTTGGGCACGTACCCTGACGGAGAATTGAAACAGTGACCTTCTGGTGCAGGGGCTGACGCTCAACCAACTGAGCCACACCTGCCAGGTGGTAGGATTTTTTTTAAATTATTAAGAAAAACACAAGGGAAAAAATAAGCAAAGAGCAGGAACAGAAATATAAATAAAAACAGCCAATAATATGATTAAAATGCTCAACCTGACAATTAAAGAACAAATTAGAGCAAGATACCATTTTTACCTATTATGCTGTCAGAGACTTTTAAGGTCCGTATGGTGTTGGGGTGCATTTGGGAGATTGGACACCCCATGCACATGGGAGGAAGTGCTCTCCTCGGAGGGCGATTTGATAATATCAAAGTAATTTTTTTACTTAAGTTTATTGGAGTGACATTGCTTAATAAAATGATACAGGTTTCAGGTGTCCTGTTCTGTAACACATCATGCATATTGCACTGTATGCTTACTGCCCAAAGTCAAATCTCCTTCCATCACCATACATTTGACCCTCTGTACCCTTACTACCTCCCACCCCTTTCCTCTCTGGAAACTACCATACTGTTGTCTATGTCTATGAGCTGTTGTTTGTTTGCTCATTGTTGTTTTCCGTTTTATATCCCACATATGAGTGAAATCATGGAGTTCTCAACTTTTTCTGTCTGACTTATTTCACTTAGCATGATAGTCTCAAGATCCATCCATGTTGTTGCAAACGGCAGTATTTCATATTTTCTTATGGCTGAGTAGTATTCCATTGTACAAATGTACCACATCTTCTTTATCCAATCATCTGTCAAAGGACACTTCGGCCCTAGCTGGTTTGGCTGCTGACTGAAGGGTCCTGAGTTCGATTCCAGTCAAGGGCACATACCCAGGTTGCAGGCTCGATCCCCAGAAGCGGGTGTGCAGAAGGCAGCTGATCAATGATTCCCTCTCATCATTGATGTTTCTATCTCTCTCCCACTTCCTCTCTGAAATCAATAATATATATATATATACATATACATATATATATATATTTTTTTTAAAGAGCACTTAGGTTGCTTCCACTGTGAATAATGCTGCAGTGAACATAGGCGTACATATATCTTTACAAACAAATGTTTTCAAAATTTTCTGGTAGATACCAAAAAGAGGAGCGGCTGGGTCATATGGTAACTCTATTCCTCATTTTTTGAGGATTCTCCATACTGCTGTCCATAGTGTCGGTACCATGTTTACATTCCCGCCCAGTGAATGAGGGTTCCTTTTTCTCTACAACTTCTCTAATAATAGAAAAAAATATATTAAACTAAAGGACTTTGATCTTAGAGAGGATTTTATGAGCTTGACCTCAAAGGCAAGGGAAGCAAAAGCAAATATATCAAAATGTAAGGTGAACGTGCTATTTTACCCAGTATGCATTTACCCTGTAGCTATGCTGCACAAATGTGCAAATACTCATCCATTATAGTTTTTGTAATGGCACAAATTGGAAATAACCTAGGAGTCCTAAAAGCCAACAAGGAGGACTTATCATGTGGACGTGAACAAATTCCCAAGAGATAATGTTAAATGAAAAAAATCGAAGTGTAGAATATGATGTAGAGTATAAACCTACATCAAAGTGTGTGAGGAGGGAAAGAATATACCTAAATATATATATACACTGAGTGGCCAGATTATTATGACTGGCCAGATTATTATGACCACCCATCAGTACAATGAAGTGAATTAGTTATGCAAATAATAATAGGACCACCCATCAGTACAATGAAGTGAATTAGTTATGCAAATAATAATAATAATAAAACCTTGAGAGTATTTGCTTAAGAAGTTTTCAATATTCAGCATTTTTGGAAGTGTCAATCAAGTACTGATGGGGTGGTCATAATAATCTGGCCACTCAATGTATATGTTAATGGGAATGACAGACAAGAAAATATTAGCAGTGGTACCTCTTGGGAATGGGATGGAGGTGAGGAAGAATTTCTTTTCATTTTACACCTTTCTGCATAGTTTTGAAATTCTTAATACCTGTATGTAATTTCCACATTTACGTTTATTAATTTTTTAAAAACTAGTTTAAAATAGTTTTACTCTAAATATTGTTGAACACAAAGTATGGATATTTTAACATTTTCATTTACTTTTCTAGGAGAAAAGGGTGTCTGTAATCCCCCATTTTATTTCCTAACTAAAGGCCCAGTGCACAAAATTCAGGCACTGGTAGGGTCCCTAACAGCTGCCAGCTGCCGCCCGGGGCCTCCCTCCTTTCCCCCGGCCAGCTCTGTGCCCTGGTCGAACTCTTCCCCAGACAACTCCCGGTGGAGGGGACAATTTGCATACTACGCTTTTATTATATAGGATAGAGGAAGAAAAGGACTTGGAGATAAGTATTTAGAGGCAAAATGTAATTTTGTCTTTGGCCCAAGGATAGGCTGACATCAAAGTAATAAATGACAAAGGTCTGATTCTTATATTCAAGAGCTGGGTTGTGTCCTAAGCCTGCACACTCACAAGCATGGTTAATAGATGTTTTGCTCACAGAGTTACTAATCTCACAACACCCCTGCAAAGCCAGTAATGAACATCTCCGTTTCCCTGTACTGACAATGCTCTCAAGGAGGTCATATTCTTGGTAGACCGCCTTAGCTCCTGGGAAGCACTGCTCTTTGCTGATTATAACCAGGAGCTTTATCACAGTCTCACTTAATCCTCACAACAGCCCTTTAAAGTAGGTATTGTCTTTTTTCTCCCCTCCCCCCCATTTTTTAAAACATATCTTTATTGATTTCAGAGAGGAAGGGAGAGGGAGAGAGAGATAGAAACATCAATGATGAGAGAGAATCATTGACTGGCTGCCTCCTGCACACCCCCTACTGGGGATCGAGCCTGCAACCCAGGCATGTGCCCTGACCGGGAATCCAATCATGATCTCGTGGTTCACAGGTCGACGCTCAACCACTGAGCCACACCAGCTGGGCGTAGGTATTGTCTTCATGTTGGGTTGAGGAAACAGACTCAAAGAGGTTAAGACACTTGCCCAAAGTTACATAGCTAGTAGGACTGACCTCATTTTTTTTTTAAATATATTTTATTGATTTTTTTACAGAGAGGAAGGGAGAGGGATAGAGAGTTAGAAACATTGATCAGCTGCCTCCTGCACATCCTCCACTGGGGATGTGCCCACAACCAAGGTACATGCCCTTGACTGGAATCGAACCTGGGACCTTTCAGTCTACAGGCCGACGCTCTATCCACTGAGCCAAACCAGTCAGGGCTAGGACTGACCTCATTTAATGCAAATATTGTCATGGCTGCACCACATTGCTTGTCACTGGACTTTTCATTTCTCTGACTTCAACATTCCTATCACTTTTGCTGACTGTTCTTCCTCCACCCATCCCTAAATACTGATGTTTCTTTTTCGGTTCTCATTTCACTTATATATCCCCCTGGGCTATATCACTCACCGCAAAATTTTTCAATTACTACCCATACACAGATGGTTTCCAAATCAAAATATCTAGCCCAGATCTCCCTTCTAACCGTAAACCTGCATATGCAGCTGTCCTCTTGGCAGCCGCGGTGTTATCCAGGGAGCAATATCAACCTCCCAGACCCGAGTTGCCTCCTCTCTCTCCTGTCCAATTCTATGCCATCTTTAAAATCAGAAAATAGCAAGTTTCCTATTCATGAACACAGATCTTAGACTTACCCAGAGAATTTGGGGGAACTCCATCTCTCAGCTGTCTGCCTGGGATAGCCAAAATTAGGGTAGCTTGCCGAAACCGGTTTGGCTCAGTGGATAGAGCGTCGGCCTGCAGACTGAGGGGTCCCGGGTTTGATTCCGGTCAAGGGCATGTACCTGGGTTGCGGGCACATCCCCAGTAGGAGATGTGCAGGAGGCAGCTGATCGATGTTTCTCTCTCATCGATGTTTCTAACTCTCTATCTCTCTCCCTTCCTCTCTGTAAAAAATCAATAAAATATATTTTTAAAAAAAGATTAGGGTAGCTGGAGGAGGTTAGGAAGAGTGGGGCAGCCACCACGGGTTTTGGAAGTAATTGTTAGGTCCCTTTCCTCCTGCTCATCTCAGAGATGGTAGAGCACTTCTGAAGACCTCCTGATAACGTGTAGCCTCTATTGGGTCTATACTTGACCTATGTTTATAGGACTGTCCTAGATGAAAGCAGCACTTGCAGATTCCTGCCTGACAGTACTTTACACAGAGCATCCACTGTTGAGTAAAATACCTACTGACAAAATGTTACCATGAATTCATTAACACCTTTAGCTGATTCAGTATTTTAATTAATCATGCTTACGTTCTTGTGACAATGGTACAAAAATATAAGACATGGTTAGTTAGTCTCAGGCAGTGCGTGGTGTGGATTCAGACTCCCGCAGGTTTGCAAAGCAGAGACAGAACACTAAAATGGGTTTTCTTTTCTTTTTCAGGGAGGGGCTTTTTATTTCCTGGAGCATGTAGCAGCTGAGCATTCAACCTGGAATTACTTCTGGCAGCAGGTCCTGGATCCTGTCTGGTACCTGCTGTTTGATGGGTGCAACCTGACCAGAGAGAGCTGGAAGGCGGTGGAGCGGGCCGGCTTCTCCAAGCTGCAGCTGCAGCGCATACAGGCCCCGCTGTCCATGGCGCTGGTGCGCCCTCACATCTATGGATATGCTGTGAAATAGCGCCAGTGGGGAGCGGAGAGCTGAATGAATGGCTCAGATAACCTAAGGCTTCCGTTTTACACTTAAATCCTAATTGGGAAAAGAGAAACCCTTTTTTAGGTAAAGCTGAATTTCATCCTAAAAAGTTTACCTTATACCCTATTTAGCCCTTTTCCATTGTCTCCCAAAGAATCAGCCCATGTGAGGTTGCATCGCTGTTTTCTAGTTTTGTTTAGGCTGCACTTGGATTGAGTTTACTTCTATGTTGTTTTGTAAACATGTATTTCTATGAGCACTTTTTTTTAAGTGCTGTTTGTTCTCCCATCATTGTATTCCCAATGCCTGGTATATAATAAGTGCTTAAGAGATATTTGTTGAATAAATTAGCTAAACAAAACAAAACAAATACAAAATAGCTTTGCACTCTCCTTTAAAAGGAAACAATGAGCCCAGCCAAGGAGACTCCGTGATTGAGTGTTGACCTATGAACCAGGAGGTCACGGTTAGATTCCGGTCAGGGCACATGCCCAGGTTATGGGCTTGGTCCCCTGTGGAGGCCATACAGGAGGCATGATTCTCTCTCATCATTGATGTTTTTGTCTCTCCCTCTCTATCCCTTCTTCTCTAAAGTCAATAGAAATATATATTTTTAAAATATATTTTAAAAAACAATGAGGAAACAATGAGCTTTCATAATTAAAGTCTACCATTATCCGCAAACCTTAGTTTATTCAGTATCTTCAAATATCTTATTTAAGTTGTTACCCAACAGATTTGGATTTCACCCCCTCTTTGATTTGAGAGCTTGGTGAACTAAGTAGTTAAATCACTCAAAAGAAAACTTCGAGAAATGAGAAATGAAATATCTTAATGACTCGCAAACTGAATAAAGAAAGACTAGTTGAAAATTACACTTGACACTTTAGTATTTTCAGGAAACTGTCTGAGGCAGTTAAGGGTCTTGGGTTCCTTTTCCTTATTATCTAGCATATGCTTTCCTGAATGCAGTCAATTGCAGGCAAGGAAAAGGCCCACGGTTACTAGGAAAACCTTGTATAATTAGGTCCACTTCGTAAGAGCCCCTAAAAAGCAGACAGCTTGTGAGTGTGTAAAGAAGTGGGCAAGTATTTGTTGGATTATTCTGATCAAATTTCCACCCATCCCAAGATGATTTCTTTGTTCCCGGCAACCACCAAAACCTCTGAAAATCATCACAAGTGCTGGGCTGATCGGTCAGAGGGTTTAAGAGTAGAATCTTCAGAAATAGTTTGCATGTACTTTAATAAATTTAGTATATTTTCTGAGATGATTTTGCAAAAGGCCTATTTTAAGTAGCAAGTCAATAAATTCAGATGCATTTTAGGAATGGAAATAAAATAAATAGTTTATATATTAACTCGCTTGGTTTCATTTTTCTTAATGTCTCTGGGAGGGCTTTCCTTCCTCGTGGAAAGTTTAGCTATTTAAACATACAGGTTTTTCTTTCTTCAGCCAGGTAACTATGCTAGTAAACACAGCTAGCAGATTTTAGAAAGAGCAGTTTTGGAAGGATCAGAATGTGTTTTGAAAAATTCAAGTCCAAAGACCCGACTTGTGAAATCCAGAGAGCAGAAGGAAAGGAAGCTCACTATTCTCTGTGGAACATGAAACAGTTATTGTTACAGTGAGGTCTGGACACTCACCTAAGGCCTCCTGAGCAATGGAACAGAATCTCCTCCCACTACAGTCTCCCCAAAGTAGGAACCTCCTTACGCTACCCACCTCACTACTGGTTAGGTCAGTCTAGTGGGTGAGAACTATGAAAAGCCACAGGTTGACATGGTGAAATGTTACTGGCATGTTGGAAGGTAAATAACAGCAAAGTACAAAGTACTCGGTACATTCTTACCGATTCCTTCTTACTTAAGTGATTTGGCAAATATTATCCTCACTTTTTCTTTTTTAATCCTCGCCTGAGGATATGTTTTTCATTGATTTGAGAGTAAGAAAGAGGGAGAGCAAGAGAAAAGCATCAATCAGTTGCCTCACGCACCCCCACCAGGGATTGAACCTGCAACCTGGGCCTGTGCACTGGCCAGGAATAGAACCTGGGACCCTTCCGTATATGAGATGGCATTCTAACCACTGAACAACACTGGCCAGGCCTGTCCTCACTTTCTATAGACAACACTAAGGTGCAGAGAAATAAATAAATGAAGTTTCTTACATTCCACAAGTTAAAGAGCAAATCTTATAAGCCCTGATTCCCAAAACCACAAAACCTGTCTTGACTACAGCTGCCATATTACTTTATCATTGCTTTCCACCTCAGGCCCAGAATGTCACATATTTATGATAATTCCAACAGCCTGAGGACTGAGTCTCAATAGGCTCTTATTGACAACTAGAGGCCCGGTGCACAAAAATTTGTGCACTCGGGGCGAGGGGAGTCCCTAAGCCTGGCCTATGACCTCTTGCAGTGTGGTACCCCTGGAAGGATGTCCACCTGCTGGCTTAGGCCTGCTCCCTGGGGGATCAGGCCCAAGCTGGCAGTCAGATTTCCCTCTGGCAGCCCGGCAGCCCCCGGGGGATGTCCACTTGCCAGCGGGTAGCAAGCCTAAGCTGCAGTTGGACATCCTTAGCACTACTGAGGAGACAGGAGAGGCTCCCACCACCACCGCTGTATTGGCAGCCATCAGCCTGGCTTGTGGCTGAGCAGAGCTCCCCCTGTGGGAGCGCACTGACCACCAGGTGGCAGCTCCTGCACTGAGTGTCTGCCCCCTGGTGGTCAATGTGTGTCATAGTGACCAGTCATTCCCAGTCCTTCTGCTGTTAGGGTCAGTTTGCATACTACCCTTTTATTATATAGGATAGAGGCCTGGTGCATGGGTGGGGGCCGGCTGGTTTGCCCTGAAGGGTGTCCCGGATCAGGGTGGGGGTCCTGCTGGGGTGCCTGGCCAACCTGGGTGAGGGGCTGATGGGTGTTTGCAGGCTGGTCACACCCCCTTCAGGGTGGGGGTCCCCACTAGGGTGCCTGGCCAGCCTGGGTGAGGGGCTGATGGCTGTTTGCAGCTGGTCACACCCCCTTCAGGGTGGGGGTCCCCACTGGGGTGCCTGGCCAGCCTGGGTGAGGAGCTGATGGCTGTTTGCAGGCTGGTCAAGCCCCCCCCCAGTGGAGACCCTGGGTGAGGGGCTGAGGGCCGTTTTCAGGCTGGCCAAGCCTCCCCGGCAATGGAAGCTCCCAGCCTCTCCTTTTTTTCTTTTTTTCTTTTTTTATTCTTGGATTTATTTACCTTCTATAATTGAAACTTTGTAGCCTTGAGAGGAGCTCAGAGCCGGCCAGGGCAGGCGGGAGGGAAGCTTAGCTTCTTCCATCGGCAGGGGCAACCCACTCCTGCTTGCTCCAGCTCCGTGGCCACAGCTGGCTGAAAGCAGGTATCTGGGGTTTATTTACCTTCTATAATTGAAACTTTGTTGCTTTGAGTGGAGCTCAGAGCCGCCGCAGCAGGCGGGAAGCTTGGCTTCCTCCATCATTGGGGCAACCAAGCCTCCTGCTTGCTCCAGCTCCATGGCTGCCGGCCGCCATCTTGGTTGGGTTAATTTGCATATAGTCGCTCTGATTGGCTGGTGGGCATGGCTTAAGGTGTAGTGAGGGCACGGTCAATTTGCATGTTTGTCTTTTATTAGTGTAGATAATGGGTCAGCCCTTTCCTGAACCAATCATGTTTAGATGGGATAGATTATGCCAATTGGCTCAAGTGTAGGTCCCTGTGTTTCATCCCTGGGGTTGAGCACACCCAGATCATGTGGACTGAGACAAGGAGACTTGTGGATTATCCAGATGAAAACAGAGCCTGTGACTGGGGTAAGGGGGAATGGATGCTGGGAAGGCACACCACAAATACCCAGGATAAGCTCATTGCTGCATTTTAATTTTTTTTTTTAAGAGAGAGTGGAAGGGAGAGGAAGAGAGAGAGAGAGAGATGAGAGGGACACATCGATTGGTTGCCTCCCACACAGGCCTGATCAGGGCCATGTGCAGGAGGCAGGGCCATGTGTAACCTGCAACCCAGGTATGTACTCTTTTTTTCCCCCAGGGATGTATTCTTGACTGGGAACTGAATCTGGGACCCTTGGTGCTCAGGCCGATGCTCTAACCATTGAGCACACCAGCCAGGGCTCATTGCTGCATTTTGATCAGACCCTCTGTCTGATTTCCTGCGGTAGATCACACAGTACTGTGCTTACAACACTGGCTTTCTAGTGGGATAATTGCATACAATGAGAAAAATAAAAGTCAAAATGACATTGGCTTTGGCATCAAAGTGACCTAGGTCAAGTTCTAGCTGTGTCATCATTGACTGTGTGACCTTGAGCAAGTTACTTCCCTTGTCTCACTTTCCTCACCTGTTAATAGGGATAATATCGACCTACAGCGTTATTGTGAGGAGGTAATGAAGTGAAGCACTTGGTGCTTAATAAATGTTGAACTTCATTCAACAAATGTGAGTGCCTACTGGGTACTCTGCTCTTGGTGCTTGGCTTAGAGTCCTGAATAAGCTAGCCCTGGTCCCTCCCTCCTGAAGCATACAGTTGTGATGATGCTATCTATGAGGGAGAAGCTTGGGAAGAGAACAGAATACAGTCTATCCAGGAGGAAGAGGCTCAGAGGCGTTCTTGAGGAAATGGCATCTGAGCTGAATTCTAGAAGATGAGTAAGCAGTATTGCAGCCTGCCCTGGCCAATGTGGTTCAGTTGGTGGGGATCAGCCTGTGCACTGAGGGGCTGCTGACTCAATTCCTGGTCAGGACACAGGCCTGGTGGGGGGATGGAGGTGCTGACTGATATTTTGCTCTCACATCGATGTTTCGCTCTCTCTCTCTCTCCCTTCCTCTCTCTCTAACAAATAAAAATCTTTAAAAAAAAAAAAGAGTATTTCAGTCTAATGTAACAGCTTGTGCCACCAACTAATGAAGAAAGGAAACACAGTATGTTTGTTAAGGGTAGGAATATTAATCGTGCTCTGTTAACCATGATTGTTAGCTATGGTTATCCTATCTAATAATAGACAAACATGGTAATTGACCGTACCTTCGCTACACCTCCCATTGGCTAATCAGCATGATATGCAAATTAACCACCAACAAAGATGGCGGCTAATTTGCATACTTCAGGCGGGGCCGGCAGCGTGCAATGCTGCCAGCGGGACCCGGGCCCCGGACCCCTGACCCAGCGAGGCGGGGCCAGTGGTGCCCGACACTGCCCGGGGAATCCAGGCCTTGGATCTGTGACCTGGAGAGGGAGCAAAGCAGCGGAGAAGGGAGAGAGCCCAGGTGGCAGAGAAGGGAGGGAGTCGAGGGCTAAGCGGCGAAGGGAGGGAGCGAGGCGGCGGAGACAGGAGGGAGCGAGGCAGCGGAGAAGGGAGCAAAGCCTGCCTCGGTGGGCTTCGCTCCCTTCTCTGCTTCGCTGCGGTCTCAGGAAGCCCTATTCTTGCAGGAATAGGCCCGAGGAAGCCCTATTCTTGCAGGAATCTTCCTGCAACGGGCCTCTAGTAAGAAATATTAATGATGCTCTGTTAACCCTGATGGTTCTGTTCTGATTAGAGAAAGCATATTCTAACCTGGCTGAGTTGTACACCCTGGGACATGGGAGTTAACCTGGGAATGTGGTCCATTCTCCTTATCCAATAACTGCCTATTATCAGGGAAAGATGAACAACTTTTGTTGCCAAAATAACAGAGTCCCAGAGGCGCCAATCCCACCCCCCAACCCCTGCTCCCCACTCCCCAGCCTACATGGCCTGTAACCTGTAACCATTATACCCATTCTTTTTTTTTTTTAATATATTTTATTGATTTTTTACAGAGAAGAAGGGAGAGGGATAGAGAGTTAGAAACATTGATGAGAGAGATCGATCAGCTGCCTCCTGCACGCCCCCCACTGGGGATGTGCCCGCAACCAGGGTACATGCCCTTGACCGGAATCGAACCGGGACCCTTGAGTCCGCAGGCCGACGCTCTATCCACTGAGCCAAACTGGTTCGGCAACCATTATACCAATTCTTATTCCTTTTGCCCACTTCCCCATGTAATCTTTGCCCTTCTATCCAATATAAGCACCTGGCTATCGGGGAGGGGAGATTGAGCAGATTTTCGTGGATAACATGCTGCTCTCCCATACTGCCGGCAGTATTGGAATAAACACTCATATATGGTTCAACCTTGTCTGCTTAATTGGCTCAAGTAGTGACAGGCAGCCTGGACCCATTGTTTGTCCAGTTTCATGTTCAAGGAACTGAAAGAAAGCAGGCATAGCTGGGCACCAAAGCCTGAAAGGCGGGTTTTGGCATGGCCACTATTTCCATCAGCTTCTTGTTAATTTTGTTAAGAATCTGGGCCCATGAGCCCAACACTTATTTTAATGGCTAACGAAAAAAGAACATTCAAAATTCTTTTATTTACATTATAAAACATTCTGTTCCTAAGTGTTCTGTTTCTTCTGAATTCCTACCTATTTTACACTTGAATAGAAACTGAACCATTGCACAGTAGTTCTTTCTGTACTCTTGACCTTAAATAAGCCTTTCCCTTTAGTATTGCTTCAGAAAACACAGAAGTTCACATAAATTTAATTCTTGCTTATCTGTAAGACAGCTGAGAGTATAATGAATCATGGCAGACTAATATCAACAAAAGCAAAAAAGAAAACTCTTCAGTATTACTCAATATTTAAATCCTAAAGCATTCAGGCTACTTTAGACAATAACCGGAATTCCCTGAACCGTGAAAACATCAGAGAATCGAGGTGGGGGGAGGTCATGTTAACTGAGGACAAAAGAGAATTAAAAGAAATGCATGAGTCCAAACGGATATAAGTAAATAGGAAGTAAAAGAAAGCAATTCCTTACAGTAGAATGCCAACTGAAAAATACAAAAGAAAGTATGGCTTTAAAAAATGACCATTTATTAATTGATTCAGGCAAGAATCATCAACGGATGCTGAAATTAATGGGTAAAAGTCTGACAGATAACAGGATATTTGTACAATATTAAAGTATCTCATCACAAAAGACAATAACTATAAAGGGGGAAATAGTAACCCTACTAAAAACTTGCACACCCCACCTTAATCCAGTGACAATGCAGTGATGTGCTACTGCTGACTCACCCCAACTCAAGAGAGGCGCACCCCTTCCCAACGTTGTGTTCAGTGATGACATGACCGTGATGGGGGTATTTGCACCAAAATCCACAAGTGTTACAAACCCAGGCTTTTTACCCCTGAGAACCAACTGTTAGTTATTTATAAGCATAATAACTGGATCAAAGTTACTTCCCCCAAGCAAGCTGACTTTATTCGTGATAGCACACACTACGGACACAGCCTCTCTTTTGTGGTATTCTGTCCGAAATGCATAACCTCATTCTAAGGATGAGAAAGCATCAGGAAGAATCTAAATTGAAAGAGATTCTACAAAGTAACCAGACGAAAGGAAGAAATCACATCTAGAGAAAAACGACCAAGCAAATGTGACTAAATGTTAGCCATGGAGAACCTGGGTGCGGGGCATACAATTCTTGGTACTGTTCTGGGAACTTCTCTGTAAGTCTGACTTAAAAAAAAAAAAAAATTAAAGTTATAAGGAAAAAACCGCCAATGCTACCTGGTCCTTTGCCCTCATCCTGCGGCCCCGGACATCTAAGGGCATCACAGACCTGTTATTGCTCAATCTCAGGTGGCTGAACGCCCCTTGTCCCTCTAAGAAGTTGGGGGACGCCGACCGCTCGGGGCCGTGTAACTAGTTAGCAGGCCAGAGTGTCGTTCATTATGGTCGAGGCGGTGAGGCCTCAAGGTGTCCAAGGGCGCGGTCACAGCAGAAGCGAAGCAGTGTCCACCAGCCACAGTGGGCTGCCCCTCTGACGAGCACATATTCCTAAAAGACAAGAACCTGAGCCCTCAGATGGCTGACCCCATCCCTACCCACAAATCCAGTGTTGTCCTCTGCGTCCACTTTCCTCTTTATTTTGGGCCTTGGAGCCGGGTACCAGCACTCACAGCCACAGAGGGGAGTGGGGAGTTCCCTTGTGAAGACAGAATGAAGTAATGGCATCTCCAAAAGCCTTAATGTCTCCTTAATGCTGCCTTTGGAAGCCTAATGCTTGTGGTCCAGGTGCTACTGCTGCTTCCCGGTGTGGCTGTGAAAACTTTGGCCAATGCCAGCTCGCCACTCCCCCTGGGAGGAGGGTGCTGATGGGCTTTCCCATTATCTATCAATTAGCTGGAAGTTGAGTGGAGTGTGTTCAGCCTTACAACGCTGTTCTGATCTACTGCTCTCTGCTCGGGGAACACCAGGACACAGCAGGTGGTGGGCTACGCCAAAGGTACTGTGCTTCTCCACTTCCCCGTTGCATTTGCTAATGGAAGCTGATTCATAGGGTGAAGCCATCCTATTTGACGTTTTGAAATGAAGGTAGCAAGTTGCAGGGATAACAGGCTGAGGTGCTGTTAAGCCATGTTGATAGTGACTAGAGCTGCTCTTCAAGTTTCCTCATTCCTCCTGGGTGGACGAGGAAGGTTATTGCCCTTGTCTAGCACAGCACCGGGCACATGGTAGGTGTCTGGTAAATACCAATGACTTTATCATGCTCTGCACATCCTGTAGAACTGGAGTGCTCACTCTTCCATCCCCGGTAAATCTGACAGTACTGTTGCCGGTGTTGGCACTGCTGTCATTCTTTAAAATGATAGTTTGTCAAATAAACTCTGTGTTCTTACTGTTTGTGGGTGAATTCTGAGGTTCCCAATGACCTCAAATGCTGAGCAGTGAAAAGAGACTGAAAACATAATCATGATCTGTTTCACTCTGTATTCATGGAATCTGATTATGACTCTTTATATATTTTTCTTTTACCCCCTCTACACAAAATGAAAGGATCCCATGATGAAAAGGGTGAAGAAAAGATGACTTTCTTTCAATTGAGCAGATAGACATGACAAACAAATGAAGACAGAACACATAATAAAAAGGATATTGGGAGCCCGGCCAGTGTTGCTCAGTGGTTGAGTGTAGACCTATGAACCAGGAGGTCACAGTTCGATTCCCGGCTGGGGCACATGCCTGGGTTGTGGGCTCAATCCTCAGAGGGGGAGTGCAGGAGGCAGCCGATCAATGATTCTCTCTCATCATTGATGTTTCTATCTCTCTCTCTCTCCCTTCCTCTCTTAAATCAATAAAAATATTATATATATTGCCGAAACCGGTTTGGCTCGGTGGGTAGAGCGTCGGCCTACGGACTGAAAGGTCCCAGGTTCGATCCCGGGCAAGGGCATGTACCTTGGTTGCGGGCACATCCCCAGTAGGAGGTGTGCAGGAGGCGGCTGATCGATGTTTCTAACTCTCTATCTCTCTCCCTTCCTCTCTGTGAAAAATCAATAAAATATATTCATAAAAAAAATATTATATATATATATATATATATACACATATATATATATATTAAAATATATTGGGAGAAGATAAATGGACTCTTTTTAATGATTCACAGCAACCTCATTTATCCCCTACTGTTACTAGAGAGAAAAATGTCATCAGATAACCAGTGGTCAGCAGATGAGGACGAAGGTCAATTTTCCCGGCTGATCAGGAAATCTAGAGACTCCCCCTTTGTGCCTGTAGGTAAGTACAAGCCTTGACTGGATGCTGGAAAACTGTTTGTAATCGTATAGTAATGCTTTGCCCAGTATCTTGGAGGACTGAAATGTATTATGTAACTGATTTTTTTTTTCAGATAATTGAAGCTAACCCCTTCTAAGCATAAGCTAAACTTTCAGAAGTTTCTAGTATATGGTGAATCCCCAATGATGGTTAGCTATTATTATTATGGAGCATCAGATTTTATTCTAATCCATCTTCATCAGAGGGTATTAGATCCCAGCCAATCTAAAGGGAATTAATTGAATGGACTTTAATTTTCTGTGATGACTCAGTAGCACACTGAGAGTCTATTGGGACTATGACGATGGATAGGTCCCTCCGTCCTCTAAGTAACTCCAACTTTAAATTCTTGTGTCTGATGTTTACAGATTTTTTATTTCTCCCATATTATTGGATACCATAAAAAACTTCTGCCTCTGATGTTCTCTGGCACTAGAAGCTAGATACCTAAACTTAAAAGAACTGAGTCAATTCAGAGAAAAGAAGCTCCGAACGAAAGCCTGGGCTTACCTGTACACCCGAGAGCATGAACTATGTGATATTCATGCTCAGCGACCCTTTTTCCTGGCTTCCTGATCTACTCCACATGTTGAGGTTGATGGTTAAGTAGTCTCTAGATTAAAGAAGTGCTATTATAATTAGACCTGGAGTCTTGGCCTCTTTATCCTTTCCCAACACATATCTAGGCCCCAATATTGTTTTTTAAAATCGAAGCTTTCTCTTCTATGGATGCTTCAGCTGCCTTAAGCATTATTATTGTATACGGCAGCCATGCCTCTTTCCTTATAACTTTGGAAACCATTACAATAACCTATTTAAATTAGACTTACATAAGTTTGTGATTAATTCCATAAATCCTTCTAAGTAGGTATGTCATATGTTTCCATTGTCACTGTAAGTCTAGCAACTTCATGTGATTATTCACATATCAACAAGAATTAAAGTATTACTTTATAGTAATATTGTGTTTAGACGCTTCATTAATTTGAATGACTTGTAATAGCACCCATAACAAATCTAAGCAAATAAATTTATAGTGATTTATTCACCCTCCTTAGCATTTTTAACTAGAAAAACAATTCAAGACCTCAATGCCACCTGCACAGATCACTGTAATGAGCAGGATTAATCACTGTGCCTGCCATAAATTAAATTATTTTCCAGACACATTTAAGGTGATTAAAGTAGAAAGATTAAAGTGTTTCCAGCTAAATTCAATTATATACAAATTACAGAGACACTATGGAAAACAGTAAAGGTTCTGACTTTAATCTCTAAAAGAAACAAAACCAATTTAAGTAAGAACAGAACATTGATTTGATAAGGGAAAAGAACCAAGTTTTTGCTAGAAAAATAATTAATGATAAAATTGGGGTATATATTATTGAGTAGTTTGTTTAGCTATTGTTATTTTAATAATATGTATTTCCTGCTATAGGATAGTGTCCAGTGCAAATAATTTACAAAACATTTTTTGTTATCTTCAACAACTTCCATCATTATAATCTATTTATATTGTTTAGAATGGTCCTATGATCTTAAGACCTGTACATATATTCTGTGCATTTAAACTATGTTGATAGATTGTTTTTGCTTCTTTCACTTAACATTTCATATGTACATTTCTGTGTATTAGTACTTTCTATACTTATAATTTTTTTATAGCTATGACAGATTTTCCTTTGTTTGAGCTATTTGGGCTGTTTAGTTTTTCCTCATATATAATGTAGCCATAACATCTTTGTGTCAACTTCCTAAATTTTCTTTTGCTTATTTCCTTGGAGTATGTTCCCAAAGGTAGAATTTCCAGAGCAGGAAGCATGTTCAGTTTAATGTCACTTATTATATATATATATTTCCAGAGTTCTTTCCAGAAAGATTTAGCTAAACTTACAGAGCTTTCATGATGGTACCATCTCTTAATGTGCCTACCATCATCATTTTATTAGTATTTGCTTTTTGCTGATTTTATATATTTGTCATTTTTATTTCAATTTATTTTTATATTTTACTTTTTTATCTTTACTGTTGAGAATATTACAACTGTCCCCTCCTTTCCCCCATTGCTCCCCTCCACCCGGTTCCCGCCCCACCTGACCTTCACCACACTATTGTCTGTGTCCATGGGTTATGCATATATGCTCAACCACTGAGCCACACTGGCCCGGCAGAATAGCAAGCTTTGATTAACCAAATTCCTTGGTTAACCTCTGCCCATTCCCCACTCCCCTTCCCCCTGAAATTCATCAGTCTGTGCCATGCTTCCATGCCTCTGGACCTGTTTTGTTCGGCGTTTTATTTTGTTCATTAGATTCCACATATGAGTGAGATCACGTGATATTTGTTTCTCTGACTGGCTTATTTTGCTTAGCATAATGCTCTCCAGGTCCCTCCATGCTGTCTCAATGGGTCAAAGATCCTTCTTTTTTATAACTGCATAGTATTCCATTGTGTAAATGTACCACGGCTTTTTTATCCACTCATCTACTGATGGGCACTTGGGTTGTTTCCAGATCTTAGCTATTGTGAATTGTGCTGCTATGAACATAGGGGGTACATATATTCTTTCTGATTGGTGTTTCGGGATTCTTAGGATATATTTCTAGAAGTGGGATCACTGGGTCAAACAGAAGTTCAATTTTTTATTTTTTAAGAAAATTCCATACTGTTCTCCATATTGGCTTCACCAGTCTGCATTCCCACCAGCAGTGTACTAGAGTTCAATTTTATTTATTGCTAATAAGCCTATAAAATATAAATGTTTTTATTTACTCTGATTCTTACTTCCATTTGTTAAGTGGATCCTAAAAGAATAAATATAACCTTGCTCACCTATGAAGATACACATGTGCCAACACATTTAATCAAAACTTGCTATTCTGCCCGGCCGGTGTGGCTCAGTGGTTGAGCATCTACCTACAAACAGAGGTGGGCATGGTTCGATTCCCGGTCAGGCTTGATCCCCAGTGTGGGGCATGCAGGAAGCAGCCAATCAATGATTCTCTCTCATCATTGATGTTTCTATCTCTCTCTCCCACTCCCTTCCTCTCTGAAATCAATAAAAAAATATTTTTAAAAAAACTTTGCTATTCTGCATAAATACCAATTGCATTGCCCCGCTGGTGTGGCTCAGTGGTTGAGTGTTGACCTATGAACCAGGCAATTAGGGTTCAATTCCTGGCCAAGGGAATTGAAATAAAATATCAATTGGATTTTTATGTACTAACAATGAACACATGGAAACCAAACTTAAAAACATAATACCCTTTCTCAAAGTAGAAGAAATGACTTTTTAAAGCACATAATTTCTGAATTTGCCAAATTTTTTATTTAGATAGTATCACATAGGCAAAGTGGTATTGGAAATGACTTTTTGAAATAAAGTCTACTTAGGAATATTTGAACAATTTCCAAAAAAAAACAAACCCATAATACCATTTATAATCACTTCAAAGAAAATTGCTTAGGTATCAGCTTAAGAAAACATGTACAGAATCTGTATGCTGAAAATTACAAAATGCTAATGAAAGAAATTACAGAAGACCTAAACTAATGTAGAGACTATTGTGTTCATGGATTAGAAGACTCAATATAAAGATGTCAATTCTCCTCAAACTGATTTATAGGTTTAGTGTAATTCCTATCAAAATCCCAGCAAGTTTTAAGTTCTAGAATGGTTAAAATGATACTAAGGCATATAGCTACAGTAAACAAGATGGTGTGATATAGATGGAGGGATAAATGCATATATCAGCAGGATAAAGGAGAAAACTCAAAATATAGACCCACACTTTTATTCAAGTTTTCTTCATTCTTATGTTAAAATACTAATCTGTCCTTGTCATTTTAATTCTACCTTGCCATCTTTTGGATGTTATAAGTATGCTAGTCTATTTTCTTCTATTTTTTATTGTTGATATTTGTTTTATTTTTACATTTAATTCTAACCCATCCAGGATTTTTTTTGTAGTGTCTGGTGTGAGACAGAAATCCAAGTTAGTTCTCTATACCAATAAATTGTACTCATTATGTTTATTAAATAATTATTCCTTTATCTGTTATTTGATTATTTTGACTTGTCGTGGCTCAAGTTATCACAATGGTTTTTTTGTTTGTTTGTTTGGTTGGTTGGTTGGTTTTTTTAAATCACAGTGTTTTAAATTTCTTTCCAAGATCTTTCCTATTCAGTTGATCAGTTTTCTGTTTTGGAGCCAATTACATAGTACCTTGATTGCCACAGCAATAATTTCACCCTTAACATTTGTAGAGAATGCAGAAATATTTGTAGGGATTTCTGGAGTTTTCTAGAATCACAGTTCTTCCTGGAATCACATACTTCCTGTACATCTCTCATTCACTTAATGTCTCAATTTTACAGAAGATTCAAATTTTATCACTTTACTCCATTTGCTCATTATTTGATAACAAGTAGAAAGGAATAAAGCCAAACACTCAAAAGCTATAAGATGTTTGGTAGGTCTACTTACTAAGGACTTACCCAAATGTAAGTCTTGCAGCATGCACAATTTGAAATCATACCTCAGGAAAATTAGAAATTACTAAACAAATTACTACACTATATGGTTCTGGTTTTCCTGGGAAAAGGCTAAACTGCAAATATTAAATCCATGAGTTATGAGTCCATTTTAAAATCTGGTGAATCAGCCCTAGCTGATTTGACTCAGTGGATAGAGCATTGGCCTGTAGACTGAAGGGTACAGGGGTCAATTCCTGTTAAGGGAACATGCCCAGCTGGAGGACTCAATCCCCAGTAGGGGGCGTGCAGGAGGCAGCCAATAGATGATTCTCTCTCATCATTGGTGTTTCTATCTCTCTCCCCCTCTCCCTTCCTCTCTGAAATAAATAAAAATATTTTTTAAATAAAATAAAATCTGGTGAATCAAATCCAGCATGGTTCCTTGGCTATCTTGGCTGCTCATCCTCTAAGCACTAATCCTTTGGACAGTCCTTTATTCAACTCTCTAAGCTCATGCCAATCTGGTCTGCTACTTATATAACCCCTCCTTTTTTAATTCACAGGAATAGCAGGCTTTATGACTGTGGTGTCCTATGGTCTTTACAAGTTAAAGAACAGAAGAAATCAGAAAATGTCCATTCATCTTATTCACATGAGAGTTGCTGCCCAAGGATTTGTTGTAGGAGCTGTGACTCTAGGTAACCTGCTTAATTTGTAGCTTGTGTTCAGCTACCTTTGAGAGTATTTTCATTTATTTTACTCATTCATAGTTGAAGATGAATATTGGGTCAAGATGACATAATGGTGGAAGACTGGTAAGAAAAACAGTTCTTCACTTGGTTGAGGTTGCTGCCCTAATATAGGCTTACTTTCTTAAAATTTTAAACACTGAAAAAAAACACCACCACAGTAGGCAGATGGTACACATTTCCAGTTATAAAATAAGTAAGTCATGGAATGGAATGTACAGATTGGCAACTATAGCCAATAGCACTGTATTGCATATCTGAAAGTTGCTAAGAGAGTAGATCTTAAAAGTTCTCATCACAAGGAAAAAAAGTCTGTAACTCTGTATGGTGATGGATGTTAACTAGACTTATTGTGGTGATCATTTCACAATATATACAAACGTCAAATCATTGTGTTGTACACCTGAAGTTAATGTAATGTTGTATGGCAATTATACACCAATTTTTAAAAACCCAGTGGAGAACTAGGTTATGGGCCCTGTTCGCCTCTATTATGAAAGCAGTGAACAGTTCATACCTACAACAGCTGAAAGCAGTAGTTATACACCTGCCTTTATTGCTCAGTTAAGAGCAGCAGTCATGGTTCCCAGGCGATTTGAACAACAGATATAATTACTAAAGTTTAACTGGGAAGAAAACATTTTTAGAGTCCACAAGTCTTAATATCCTTGTTCTCCTTTTATTCCAAGTTTGAGCAATAGGAAATCTTTTTTATTAGTCTATAAATTAAGCAATACTTACACAGTCAAATCCAGAGAAATTATTTGGTTAATTCAGGTTATATCAACAGCTAAATCATATACTGTAGTTCTAAGAAAGAGTCCACTTTGGAACCTAAATTATCTTGATTTTTTGGGGTCTATATTCATGAGACCAAGGCACAATGTTCTTAGCGCCCCTCCAGGCTGTACAGAGTAGAATCAGCCTGAGAGTAAGTCTAGGACTATGGAGATAGATGTGGGGCTTGCATATAGGGAGTTAAATGGTAATTATCTTATTACTATGAACTGTGATAAGGGGAGTCTTGAACAAAGTACAAAAAGAAACTTTACAAAGTTGAAGTCCTCGTTTTTGTCCTTCCGCAAATATTTACTAGGCATTTTCTATTTGCAAGGCGCGGAGCTGGTCTATAGATGTGGGGGTAGGACTTGGTCCCTACCCTCACATACTGTTCGTCTCCTCAGGGAAAGAGACCAAGAACAAGAGAAGAAAATACAAAGTCATAGGTGCTATGGCAGTGGTAACACGGGTGCTTTGGGAGCACAGGCACAAAGGAGGGGCATTTGACTGGCGCTGAGAGTCCAAGAGGCTTCTCTAAGGATGTATGAGCCAAGAAATGGAGGAATTCACTAGGCAGAGGAGGAGATGAGGAATTCACTAGGCAGAGAAGGAGATGAGGAATTCACTAGGCAGAGGAGGAGATGAGGAATTCACTAGGCAGAGGAGGAGATGAGGAATTCACTAGGCAGAGGAGATGAGGAATTCACTAGGCAGAGGAAAAAGCAATGGCACTGGAACTTAGAGCTGGGTGTGTAGGCGAATCAGTGTTTGATGAGAGAAGCAGAACGACTAGTAGTAATATATAATAAGGGACTTACAGGGATTTGGACTGACTATATAATTGTGAAGCTCTTGCTTATGTATCAGGAGCTGGGCCACAAGATGAGCAAAAACATGCTGTGGCAGTGCCTTCCAAGCAGAGACTGTGGCTGCTGCTGCTTCGAATCTCCTGTAAATGCCTCGGGGGCAACAGGGCGTGAAAGGAAAGGAATTCTTTCCTGGAAGTCATGCAGCCTTCAGGCCCCTCACAGGACCAGGAGCTAGGAATTAAAAGCCCTGGGCACACCATTTTGTTTTCCCACGTTGTCCAGCACACTTAGAAGTAACCAACCGTATTATACTCCCGCTTCCACCAAGTGCTCTATGGAAGTAAACACTTGATCAGCAAACGCCGTGCTTTTTATAGGCATCTGATTAAGGGTATCTACAGGCAATAATTTCACAAAATCTTCTGCTAATGCATGCTAGCATCCTCTTTACCACTGTAAGAAATGGCCATTAATACCTGTAAGTCTACTCAGACCAGAGAACCAATTCCAGATAACCTGGAACCAACACAAAGAACCTATCCTCATGGTTATGTCTCTCTGGAAGCTTCTGATACCAAATTCTGTTTCAATCAAGGTTCAGTCAGAGAAGGAAAACTATTAGAGATGATATATAAAAAGGGATTTATTATAGAGATATGATCTTAAGCAAATTTGGGAGCTGGTTGAACAGTCCATGTTAGGCTTGTTGCTTGTATTTCTAATGCTGGGGCCTGAGGTTAACAAGGCAGTAGTTGGGAAGGCAAAATAAACTGGAATCTGTAAGGATGAACTGGAGCCCGCCAAGACAGGGGAACTCAAGTCCGTCTCTTACTGACTCCAGCCCTGATCCTGGTGTGAGCTGTGAGAGAAGCGGCACCTCTCTCAGGGAGCTCATCCACCCCTGGCCTAGGGGCCGGATAAGCCGGGAGGAGATCCAGGTGAGCTGAAGGCACCGTGGGCCTACTGCCCAACAACAGCGAGGTGAGCCAGCGGACAAGCAACTGCACCTGGTGCCCTGCACTGAGCCCTCCAAGCGTAAACTGGACATGGCAGCTGCTGCTTCAGCGTTCACCTTCATGCCTCAAGGTCGCATGAGCCAAACTAACCCACAACTATGCAGGGAAGGGAACTCTGGAAAATATAGCGAAAGCTTAGTTAAATCTATATAAAACAAACCCCCAACAGATTTTTATGGTTGTGAGATGAGGAGTAACACGATGAAGCAAGCCAGTAAAGAGTTTAAACACAGCGGAGTAACTTGGACAGAAAGATGCCTGCTTTATAGAAAGATCAGAAACAGGCAATATGGAACTGTTTGTTTAGGGCACTAGATAAACAGTCCCACTATAAAGACAAGGAAGGAAACCATATCATAAACCTCAGAACAGTGGTTACCTGTAGAAAAGACGACAATATGGTCAGAAAGGGAGACCTGGGAGGCTTCTAGGATGCCTGCAATATTCTATTTCTTGACCCATAATTACAGGTGTTCCCTCTACAACTACTTGTTAATCTGGTCACTTAAGCTGTATATACTGCTTTCTGTGTTTGTATATTTCAACATGAAAAAAAATGTTGAGGAAAATGATTAGAGATGATTTGAAATGGAGGGGAGGAAGTAAAGACAGTGAAGTAGGATGATGAGTTGGATCTGAATTAAGTACAGTGGAAATAGAGAGAAGATGGCTTCTAGAAATACTGAGGACTCGGCAACAAAGTGATTGGAAAAAGAAAGGAAAGAGGAATCAAAGATGATCCTAGGTTTCTGGATTGAGCAACCAGAAGTAAGGATTGCCTTTTATTAATATAAAGAGCAAAGAAGGAACCAGTTTGGTGGGAGGATGAGTGCATATTGGACAAAACAATAATACCTAATGACTGCTTATGATGTGCAAGCCACTCTGCTTTATATATTGTTCTCTCATTTAATCTTCAATAATACCTACTTTGACACCACCTGGTATGCTGCAATACAATTCAATACTGATGCTCACCACCTGGAACTCAGATCAGATGCCAGAGGTGTAAGGGCTAGTTCCCAAAAATACTGCCCTTACTTCAGACACCAGCCTTTGGGGGTCCCCAGGGCATCTGCACTTCTGATAAACTGGCTACAAATTCAGGGGTCCCCAAGACTCCCTCAGGTTTATTTTACTAAAACAACTTACAGAATTCAGGAAAACAGTATACAGACAGTCCTCAGGTTACGTCAGACTTGATGTATGTCGTTTTTTGGTTACGTCACCATCTCCCATTTATTTATTTAAAAAAAAAGAGTTCCGTCATTTCGACATATGTACATATGTGCTTTATGTTTTTTATTTATTTACCACAAGTAAAGGTCAGAAATTGTTATCTTTCTTTCAAACTTTTTTTACTGTTTCACTTCATTACTGCTGTGTATGTGCTCCATGTGAGTGACGTAGGTGCTTATGTAGGTGGGTTCCGACTTACGGTGAAAATGGCATTATGTTGCGCCGTAGGAACGGATCTCCTTACAATTGTAGTTTCACTATAAAGTATACAAATCAGGACCAGCCAATAGGGTAAGGTGTGGGAGGATCGAAAGCTCAAAGCTTCTGTGCTCTCTCCCTGTGGGATCAGGGCTTGTCACACTCCCAGAGTATCAATGTGTTTATCAATCAAGGAACTCCACTGAACTTCAGTGTGAAGAGCTTTTATTGGGGGCTTCATTATATAGGCACTAGAGGCCCGACGCATAACATTCGTGCAAGGGGCTCAGCCCTTGCAGCCCCTCACAGCCCCAGCTTCGTCCAGAAGGTGGTCCAGATGGTTGTTCTGCTGTTCGGTCAATTAGCATATTAGCTCTTTATTATATAGGATGGTTGATTGAATCGCTGGCCACGTGACTGAGCTCAATCTCCAGTCCTACTCCCCTCCCTGGTGGTCTAAGAACCCTGTGGTCACATGGTTGGTCTGACTAGCCACATCCTGAAGCTATCTAGGAGCCCATCGTGAGTCACTTAATTAGCATAAATTAAAGTATGCTCCAAGGGGCTCATGAATAACGGAGGCAATCCGTTACTTGGGAAATTCCAAGGATTTTAGATTTATACCAGGAATTCTGAACGAAGACCAGTCTTTATTAAACAATACTCTTTGAGGTAGGTACTGTTATTATTCCATTTTACAGATAAGGAAACTGAGGTTTAGAGAGAAAAAGTTACTTGTTTACAATCGCATGGGAAATCTACTCCAGAGCCTAAACTCTTAATTTTATATTATAGTGACTGAAATGCCTATGACAGATGTTTCCAAATTAGAGTACTCATACCCTATGAGATATATAAGGAGATCCATGGGGATATGGGAAGAAAATATTTTTATTTTAAAAATAAAAACTTTACCAATATATAGGCTGATCATGGGACATTTACTAGTATACTGTTTATAAACAAATGTGCATCTTGAGGGGCATGCTCAACTATTTACTTATGCACAATTTAAGTTTGGAGACCACTTTCCAATGAAATGTAGAAATAGCACATATGGTACATTGAATATATATGGGATCTCACACTCAGAAGAGAAATCTAACTTGCTTACCAGTGAAGCAACAGGTGTGAAAAGAGTTGAGATCAAAACTGCAGGGAACACCAACATTTAAGAGGTAGGCAAGAGGTAAGAATTCTCTGTGTCTAAAAAGCACAGGGAACAAACAGGGAGAGAATGCCATGTAATGATGGAGGCAGAGATTGGAGTGCGTATCAACAAGCCACAGAACACAGCCACTGTCAGAAGCCAGGAGAGGCGTGGAGTAGATTCTCCCTCATGTCCTTCAGAAAGTAACAAGTCTGCTGATACCCTGAATTCAGACTGCCAGTCTCCAGAATCGTGAGACAACATATTTCTGTTGTTTTAAGCCAAAGAGAGAGAGAGAAAAGGAAGAATTAGAAGAAGCATCAGCACAGGGAAATGAAATGTCTTATAATTCTCTCTGAATCTGAGAATGTTATTTCCATCGATACCACAATAATTCAAGTTAAAAATCTTTGTCTTGAGTTCTATGCATCTACTAGAGGCCCAGTGCATGAATTCATGCACGGGTGGGGTCTGGCCAGCCCGGCCCCAATCAGGGTGGATCGGGGCTGGGCCTGTCGGGAGGAGGAGATGGCGGGAGGTTGGCCAGCAGGCCCACCCTGATCGGGGCCCCATCAGGGCCAGGCCAGCTTGGGGAAGGGGCCGCGGGTGATTGGATGGCGGGCCGGAGGGACTGTGGACTGTGGGCAGTGTGTTGGCCAGCCCCACCCCCAAATGGGGTGGGGTTGCCGATTGGGGGCCAGCAACCTGGGGGAGGGGCCATAGGTGGTTGGCCAGTTGGCCCTGCCCCTGATGGGGGGGTGGAGGCTGATCTGGGGTGGGGCCGGGTGGGGGAGGGGCTGCAGGGGATTGGCCAGCTGGCCCCACCCCCTATTGGGGTGGGGGGTGCGATCAGGGGTGGGGTGGCCAGGGGGAGGAGCTGCAGGAGGTTGGCCGCCCAGCCCCACTGCTATTGGGGTGGGGGATGTGATCAGGGGCAGGCCAGCTGGGGGGAGGGGCTGCGGGCCTATCGTGGTGGGGCTGGCTGATGGGGAGGAAGAAAGGGGGCGTTTGGCCAGCCGCCCCACTCTTGATCAGGGTGGGAGAGTCCAATCAGGGGCAGGCCGGCAGCGGGGAGGGGCTGTGAGGTTGTCCGGCCAGCCCCACCCCCTGATCGGGCCAGTTTGCTGGCCACAGTGGGCGTCATAGCGACCGGTTGTTACGGTCATTATGGCCGTTATGGTCGCTGGCTTTTTATATATAGAGATGATAGCTATCATACTATTTAGAAAACTGTGCAGACATCTGCCTCAACTAGCTATCATGTTGAGATAAGAACAACTAACCTCCTGACCCTTTATCTTCTGTGCACTCTTTAAAGATATTAACAAGCAGGGTCAGAAAGAAAGGGGAAGGAAACTGCAGCAAAGGATTTAGTTTAGACAATCTACAAGATAGGTGATGCCTTGATATTGCTATGGGCAAGAGGGGGGATGAGTTGTAGTTTAAATCTGACTCCTTAACTTGCTTTGGGTATAAACATCTGCTGACATCCCTGGAATTCACTGGAGCATCTCCTTTGTTCCTCACCCTTTTCCTACTTCAGCCTTTCTGCATGACCTGAGGACCTCATATTATGGGAGATACACACCTATCTCATCTGCTTAAACTCATAGCTAGTTCAAAATCCCTAGAAGCAGAGATTAGATCTCTTCACCTTTGTTTTCCTTGGGATACTGAGCAAAGCAGACACTGAATAGATGTTTGCTAAATTGAGGTGCCTATTATTTTTAATTTTAATACCTAGCCAGATATTTTCACTTTCACCAATATTTTAAAATTCAAACTTTAGGGTGGCATAACATCCTAAATTCAGACTTATACTAATCTCAAATGGCTCTTAGTTGTGTGTGTGTGTGTGTGTTTTCTGGAGCTACTTGTATAATCCAAGCCAAAACTTTATAAGATGGAAAGTGTTGTTTGTTGATTTGTTTGTTTTAAATTGTGGGCTAGCTTTGAAAAAATGCAGGTGGGAGAAATTCAGTGTTTGTTCCCGTGGATGCTCTATTGATATACATCTTTTTGTTTCTAGGTGTTCTCTATTCTATGTATAAGGATTACATTAGACCTCGATTCTTCAATGTGTCCAAAAAATGAAGCTGCATACAAAAAATACAAGAAGGCTTCTGAAAACTATTATGAAGAATGAATTTTCAATATGTAGCAAATTGTACTGCAGAAGTATTAGAGTTTTCACAGCCTGGTATAGTAAGTCTCAATTGTTTAAGAAGTCGACTTCCAAAGGAATAATCATAGTCAACTCAAAAATATCCTTGATGATGTCTTTCAGAACCTAGAGCATGATTTTCTAACTTAAATTTTTTTATTTTGTAGTTAGTGACAGAAAATAATCTATTTTATGACAAACCAACCTTAAAATTAGGAGTTAGCTATACATAGTGGCTACAGAAATTTTCTATATCCATATCAAATGTGACAATCTATACATTGCTTAATTCTCCCCAAATAATTAAGGCTTTCATAAACTCACTTTTAGAATGGGCAACAATTACATCAGAAGAGAATGGTCATGTTATTTAAATTTGGTTCACCACTGTGCACCTCACCCTTATATAGAAACTTCACTATTCTACCACAAACATAAATGTTTAACATGTATATATCTGTATACTCATTTTTATATTTCTTGAAAGCATTTCTAAGAGTATGAAGGTAAATTGCTAAAAAAAAAAAAAATGTCCCTTTTCCCCCAGATGGTAATATTGTGGGGGTGAAAGGATTTAGTCCAGACATGCTATTGCTAATCTCATATGACACTGTAGAAAACACAAGAAACCAAAGTAGACATTACATTTTAAATAGTCTCTGGCCTCAAAGTCCTCTGTAACTGCCCTAGGGTTCTAAAAAGATTTATTAGACTGTGTTAAACTCATAACTATCATGACTCAGATTTACTCCCTTAAGACTCCAAGCCTGGAAGAGAAAAAGAAACAGCCTGACCAGCATGGTTCAGTGGTTGAGTGTTGATCTATGAACCAGGAGGTCTCGGTTCGATTCCCGGTCAGGGCATGGTCAGGGCACGGAGTCCACAGCCCAGGTTGTAGGCTTGATCCCCAGTGGGGGCGCATGAGGGAGGTAGCCAATCAATGTTTCTCTCTCACCAATGATGTTTTTATCTCTCTCTCCCTCTCCCTCCCTCTCTTAAAACCAATAAAAATATTTTTTTTTTAAAAAGAGATTCACTGAAATAAAATCAAGAATGCACTGTAAGCCCGGCCAGCGTTGCTTAGTGGTTGAGCATCACCTATGAACCAGGAGGTCATGGTTGGATTCCAGGTCAAGGGCACATGCCAGAATTGCAGGCTTGATCTCCAGTAGGGGGCATGCAGAAGGCAGCTGATCAATGATTCTCTCTCATCATTGATGTTTCTCTCTCTCTTTCTCTCCCTCTTCCTTCTTCTCTGAAATCAATAAAAAAAAAAAATTTTTTTTAAGGCCCTAGCTGGTTTGGTTCAGTGGATAGAGTGCCAGCCTGTGGATTAAAGGGTCTCAGGTTCGATTCTGGTGAAGGGCACATGCCCAGGTTGCGGGCTCGATCCCCAATAGGGGGCAAGCAGGAGGCAGCCAATTAATGATTCTCTCATCATTGATGTTTCTATCTCTCTCCCTCTCCCTTCCTCTCTGAAATCAGTAAAAATATATTTAAAAACAGAAAAACAGAATGTAAGACATTCTTTGTGGTGATTTCCTCTTCCTTGCTGTTTCCTGTACTGGAGGGTTATTCTGACAGGAAGATGAAGTCTAGTATTTGAGGAAGTGAAATGTAGGGATATTTGAAAATATGTCTGCATTCTAGGTATTAGCCCACTGTTCTGTGTATTATATACATTTTTCTCCATTGGCACAAGTAATTATTTTAAAAGTTGTCATTTGTATCTATCATGAAGCTCTTTTAGTGCCACCAACAAATACACATTTTGGTCAACACTGTCCTCATTGGAAAACGGGCAAGGAAAGAATCCAACTACTTTATTCCATTGAAGAAAATATTCCAGCAACTACATCTAATATGTTCCATGAAGGTCAGGAAACTTGAAGACAGCTGGCACAGAATGCCATGCTGCAAAGACCCTCTTTTAAGAAAGGTTACTCTTCATGTTGATTGCACGATGAAAAGATAAGGCTACTGGAAGATTCCACTCTCTCAATAAATACTCAGCATAAAAATAGATTAGCTTAGCGGGCATGGCTCAGTGGTTGAGCGACCTATGAACCAGTAGGTCATGGTTCGATTCCCCGTCCAGGCATATGCCTGGATTGTGGGCTTGATCCCCAGTGGGGGGAGTGCAGGAGGCAGCAAATCAATGATTCTGTCTCATCATTGATGTTGCTATCTCTCTCTCCCTCTCCCCTCATCTCTGAAATCAATAAAAAAAATATTTTTAAAAAATAGATGAACTGAGCCCTAGCCGGTTTGGCTCAGTGAATACAGTGTCAGCCTGTGGACTGAAGGGTCTCAGGTTCGATTCCGGCCAAGGGCACATACCTGGGTTTCAAGCTTGATCCCCAGTGTGGGGCGTGCAGGAGGCAGCCAATCAATGATTCTCTCATCATTGATGTTTCTATCTCTTTCTCCCTCTCCCTTCCTCTCTGAAATCAATAAAAATATATTTATTTTTAAAAAAAGATGAACTGAAGTGTTTAATTAGAAATGTTTTCCCCCCCCAAAACCCAGAAGGTTCCAAAATTAATCTTACTGAGAGAATTAAAGTAATATATTTATTGCTTGAAAAAAGCAATGCATAGTATTTATTAGAGTAGCCACGCATGAGAACTCACCAATGATGTTATCACACATGGAGAAAAGTATGCAGGATTCTGATTTACCACATAAGCTTGGGTAAAGAGGGAGGGCCAGTGCAGGAAGACCCTATGAATAGATAATATACAGCACCTGAATGTGCACAATACTTCTGGGGCAAAGCTTTGGTGGCTTAATGTCATAATATTCACAATTGAGAAGGCTATTTTCATTGGCTACTGTAAACCTTAATGCCTCACTTATGAATGCCTTTTGTATTAAGTGACACACAGTTATGGAGCAGCAGCTGCTCTGTAGCAACTACAGACAGTCCTCGGGTTACATTGGACTCGACGTACGTCGTTTCGTGGTTACATCACCATCTCCATTTATAAAAAAAAGTTCCGTCATTTCGAGGTATGTACATATGTGCTTTATGTTTTTTATTTATTTACCACAAGGTCAGGAATTGTTCTCTTTCTTTTAAATTTTTTTTACTGTTTCACTTCATTACTGCTGTGTATGTGCTTCATGTGAGTGACGTAGGTGCTTATGTAGGTGGGTTCTGACTTATGGCGAAAATCGCGTTACGTCGCGCCGTAGGAACGGATCTCCGATGTAACCCGAGGACCTACTGTATTTAATCGCATTTTTTTGGACATTCTGGGCATACAATGCCAGAGCATCATTTTACAAATTGACTTAAACCCCAGGACTGAGTGAGTGTCTACAACTAGGCTATTCTTCAAATTAAATATATTATCTGTATACGCACATAATATAGAAATCCAGATTTTTAAATCATAAATTAGAGAATGATTAAATGTTCTTAATTTAGCAAAAACGTTTACCCAAGACTCACCCTTTAGACATCAATCTCTTCAACTGGTTTTAACATGATTCCGTTTGCTTTATTATCAAATTTTCTAATTACAGGAGTCATAGGACCTGAAGGGTATACTTGTAAGTTTTTATGAACTCTAGTCTGTTCCTAGTAATATACAGTTAAAGAATGAAGAAGAGCTACAGAAACCCTCCAAGTATATAATCTCTGTTTAACCATCCACCTCATCGTTTTATGAGTTGCAAAACAACAAAAAAAGTTTTTTGGCTTTTCTTTTCTTTTCCCAAACATCCTCTTGGAATGTTTCTACTGGGAAATGAAATTGTCCAAGGAGGAAAGAAAATGCAACCAATTGTTTTGAGTTGCTATCTGTGCATAAAGAAACCAAAACAGTGAAACTCATTTTAAAAGTCTATTTTTAAAGTGAAAGTTGCTAATTGATGTTAATTCAGTTTCATTTTTAAAATTGGAAGGACTCTAACTTGGGTTACAAGGCTGCTGCTCTTATCAGAAGTTGTAAGGGCCCCTGAAGTAGAAATGAGGGAATTTTAAAGTACCATTTTCGATGGCTAAATCATTATAAATGAAGATAGGCAACTATTTAGATTTTTAAAAAGTCTTATTGAAAGGTACTAAGTTTTAAAATAAGAGAAGTCAGAAATTTAACTTTTATGTTGAAGGAAGAAAATGATGCTCAAAGTCACACAAAGGCTGCAGGGTTTATAAACTCAATGCCTTTGGGGCTGGAAGGAAATGAGCGAAGGGGTGTATCCACCCTGAAGTACATCCCATTAAAATGAATAGCCCTCATGGCCGGTGTCCGCAGTGGTTACAGCACTGGCTAGCACACGGAGTTGTCTCGGGTTTGATTCCCAGTCAAGGGCATGTACCTGGGCTTGCAGGTTCGATCCCCAGCCACAATTGGGTGTGTGTGGGAGGCAACCAATTGATGTATCTCTCTCTCTCTCTCTCTCTCTCTCTCTCTCTCTCTCTCTCTCTCTTCCTCTCTCTTCCTCCCTCTTTCCTTCCCTTCCACTCTCTCTAAAAATCAATGGAAAATACATCCTCAGGTGAGGATTAACAAAAAATAAAACATGGGTAGCTGTGCCCTGGCTCAGTTGAGTGCCATCTCATGCATCAAAAATGTTGCCAGTTTCGCCCTGCCAGTGTTGCTCAGTGGTTGAGCATCGACCTATGAACCAGGAGGTCACAGTTCGATTCCTGGTCTGGCCACATGCCTGGGTTATGGGCTCAATCCCCAGTGTGGGGCATGCAGGAGGCAGCCTATTAATGATTCTCTCTCATCATTGATTTTTCTCTCTCTCTCTCCCCCTCCCTTCCTCTCTGAAATGAATAAAAATATATTTTTTAAATGTTGCCCATTTGATCCCCAGTAGGGGTTGTGCAGGAGGCAGCCGATAGATGTTTTTTTCCCTCTCTCCCTCCTTCCCTCTCCCTCTCTCTCACTAAAGTCGATAAAAACATATATATACGGATAGCTGCCATTCAGATCCAGCCAACTGCACTCCCAGGCAGGAATGTGAGCCCAGTGTTGAAAATCTTCCGAGTTTACAGATAATCATGCAAAAACTTTCCATTTTTAAATATTACATTTTTATTATAAAAATTTTAAGGAAAATAATCCTGGTTAGGAAGAGGGTCAAAAAAATCTATAAGCCACACGTGGGCCGGCAGTTTGTGACACGTGGACTAATCTTCCAAGTGCCAGTCTAGTTCTAATCTCATATTACTACTTGGTATAAATACACTGAAATAAAATGCTTAGCATTCCCTAGGAGATTCAACATTAGAAATATAAGCCACTCCTGGAAACAGCTTTGGACCTAGAAATGATGTTGGACTGTTAATGGGAAAAGTGGGAAGAAAAGACATGGTGGGACTATACATATTTTAGAAAGAAAACGAATACCTCCATTATCTTGTTGGGACTTGCAAAGTTAAACAGTAGACGGTTCTTATTTTTATACCTAAACCTTGACTGTTAGAATGGGCTGCATTACATAATGCAGCATGGAAAAATGATCATTGGTTAAAGTATGGTTTCTGGCCCTGGCCAGTGTGTTCAGTTGATTGGAGCATTGTCCTGTAGACCAAGAGGTAGTGGGTTCGATTTCCAGTCAGGGCACATACCCAGGTTGCAGGTTCAATCCCCAGTTGGGGTGGGTGCAAAGGCAACCGATAGATGTTTTTCTCTCTCTCAAATCAATTTTTTAAAAAAAGTATGGTTTCTGGATCTTGTTACTAGGTATTAAGCTCTTTGGAAAACACCATCATACTTCTGAAAAAAAATTCAAGAAAATAATAAAGCATACTGATAATTAGGATTAAATATGATTGCCAAATGTAAGAAATATTTTCTTTAGAAATGATGTGCTAGTACCATTAGTTACGAAGGGTCTGGTTAATTAAAACTGAAATGAAATTTAACTGGCCACAGCCAAGCACCACTTTAAAAGGTAAGTCATGTGGGCCAGTTCATTCTGAAAAAGAGTGTTACTCCTTTTCCTTTCTCACTTGTGATCCAGAAAAAACAGATATCTGATTTGTCTGAACAGTGTATTTTTTAAAAAATACAAAAAATCTATTTTTATAACCTTTAAACTCTACCCAAACTGTTATGTTCGGGTCCACTTAAATACATACACTTTTTTTTTTTTAATTCCAGGAGTTAAGACACAAGCCCATAGGGGTGTGTGGCCATCACAGGCCCATCAATTAACTCCCGGCTGTTGTAGGACTGTTGTGAGGTGGGTGGGTCTCTGACCTACACTTAACAGCTGTCAGCTTTTAACAGTCTTCCCATGAGGAAATCTTTGCATTTTGTTCAAAACATTTGAACAAAACTCACCTCTGAACTAACAGAGATATGTTAAGGGGCACTTGGACTACGAGAAAATGGTTCTTATACAGTCTTCGCAGGCTGTCAGTCATCTAGACACAAGTGAGTCGGCATCCACGGTGTTCAGAAGGTAGAGTTCAGGCTGAACTGTCAATCCCACGTGGTACTAAGGACAAAAAGATGGAAAGGGTTAGACTGACTTATATTTAAATATTAAAACTGGCACTTAAGTATCTATAAATAGCATATCGATATAGGCCTTTTTTTCAGTACTGCTACATTTTTATTTCAGAAAAGAAATGGCTTACCGATACATAGTTTATAGTATTAAAAAAAAATAGCTAGGAGCTGAAATAGTTAAGGATTGCAATAGTGCCAAATGTCCTTAGCACAGTTTGCACTTGACTGTTCTTGTAACATACTTTGCCTAAGGATGGGTGCTTTTGATCAGGATATTAAGGGCAAATACACTGGCTGCTTTTCTATTTTAGTACTGTGTGTCAGAAATCAGTTTTCAAGTGGTTTAAATCTGAAGCCCCATTACCTTTGGCACCTGAGAAAAGTCTTTCATTAAAAAACAAAACACACAAAACGGCTGAGAGGGGAATGACCTATGGTTCCAAACTGTTTGTCAGTCTGAATCAGCTTCGGCTGCTTTCAGAACACATGGCAGACCCTTCTCCTGGAGACCTGAATCCAGATGGTTTGTGTTGGGGTCTGTGATGCTGCATTAACTCGTTTTCTCTTTTCTCCCTACACTGCTGGGTAATCACTGAGTCTCCTTTTAGCCCCACTGTCCCTGCTCAGGGCCTTGGAAATGTTCTTGCCCCTTGGCACTAGCAGCCCGTGAATGAATGCAGAATGCAGACTGTAAATCCGTAGTAAGAAAATATTCCTGTTATAGTGGGAAAGGCACTGGAGTTGGGTTCAAGCTCCAACTCTGCTACTTCCCATGACCTTGCGCAAGTCAGGTAGCCTTTTGGAGCCTTATCCTACTTATTTGTAAAATGGAAATAAATCCTATCTTTGCAAATTCCAAGTACAGAATATGCCATCTCATGTTAGTGTTCAATAAGCATAATTTCTTTTAACACGTTACAAATTGCCCTGTATACCTCACAGGCTTGTGGTGACTGCCTAGAGAGGAGTCCAGATGGAGCCCAAGATAAAACTCGTCTCAATTAATGGGCTAGGAAATACTGAGTCACACTGGCCTTGGGGCAGAAAAGCAGCTCTTCAGGGATAGCTTGTTTATTCACTTTAGGGCTTTACATCTCAGGGTTTCCTAATCAAGAGCCATTGATTGCCAGATATATTGACAATTCACTGCACCCTATTCTCAAATGAGCTAAGGTGGTGGGCCTCCTATGCAGTAAGCAAGGATTGCATTATTAGTCCTATGATCCCAGCGTGTATCACGTACAGAACTTCTTCACTGGACAAGTTTGTCCTATTGCTCTGCGACATTCAGAAATGGGGCTAAATGGCACATAGTCTGAAATATCCTCTCAGGGGCAGAGAAGTAATGCAAATGAGTAAACTTACTATTAGTTCTTAGCTACTGCTGGGGTTGGATCACAGAGGGCCCGCCCATTTTCTACACCTGCCAAAAACATTACTTTTTTTTTTTTTTAACTTAGCGCAGGCCAAACAAAATTAGTCTACCAGTTGGCAACTTCTGAGCTAAAACATATTTTAATACTAATCAGAGTATCAAGCAAATGCTTCCATGTGTTGATGTTTCTGGTGCTTTTAACCACGAAAACTTGGTGTCTTAAACTCACATGAAGGGTGTACTGCATATTACGTGGGATGGTTTGGTAATGATAATGTAGGCCCTGCAGTTAAGCCATTCAAGTTCAAATGCCAATTGCCCTTTAGCAATTGTAACTTGGGGAAGTTATTTTTTGCCTTTCAGTTGCCTCACCTATATAGAAGTTATCCTCTTGTTATACGAATTAAATGAGATTATGAGTGCTTAGACCAGGATTAGCTCATAGTAATGTGTTAGCGGCTTTAAACATTCAGAAGCTAAGGTGTCAAGAGAGGCTGACACATTCTGATTCACAGTCCTACCCAATGAAGGAGCAGAGAGTTCTAGAGGGCAATGTTAAAGGTTCTTGGGTCAACTGAGGATCTTCAGATTGTTATGCATCCTATTTTAGTTCTGAAAATAAACCCAAATTAAGAAGAGAGCTAAATGAGGTAGGACAACAGAGAGAACAAAACTCCCAGATTACTTCTACAGCATAACCTAAGTATTTAGCTCTTGTAAGACACGGAAAGCTTGCAACAGAAAAAGGGAAAATGAAGTTCTGGTGACCCTCTTGGGACAAATGAAATGCTGACTTAGATTTTCCCGTCATGCATCTGGTGACAGGACAGGTAGTTCGCTGTGCCTGAACTTGTCTTTATTTTCACTAAATGTGGCCAATATTCCCATTTATATTGGGGCTGCCAAAATGCTCACTTTTTTTTAATGTTTTTATTGATTTTATTTTATTTTTTTGCAAGGGAGAGGGATAGAGATAGAAACATCAAAAGAGAAACATGATGGATCAGCTGCCTCCTCCACACCCCCTACTGGGAATTGAGCCCAAAACCGAGGCATGTGCCCTGACTAGGAATCGAACCAGTGACCTCTTGGTTCTTGGGTCAATGCTCAACCACTGAGCCACACTGGCCAGGCTCACTCATTTTTTTAAGATAATTTTAGTTTCTCTTTTCAAATACTCCTACTTTTTATTGGCAGTATATACAGAATATAAATGCCTATTTCAATGGTGAAACAAGACTACAGTTAGAAAAATGTTCAGTTTAGAGCAGAGAAAGGCAGAATAACAAGTTTCTTATTATTTAAATACTAGAGGCCCGGTGCATGAAAATCGTGCACTGGGGGGGGGAGGAGGGGGTCCCTCAGCCTGGCCTATGCACTCTCACAGTCCAGGAGCCGTCAGTCAGACATCCTTGGTGCTGCTGCGGAGATGGGAGAGACTCCCGCCACCACCACTGCATTCACCAGCCGTGAGCCTGGCTTCTGGCTAAGCAGCACTCCCATGGGAGTGCACTGACCACGAGGGGGCAGCTCCTGTGTTGAGAGTCTGCCCCCTGGTGGTCAGTGCGCATCATAGCGACAGGTAGTTCCACTGTTTGGTCGACTTGCATATTAGCCTTTTATTATATAGGATGGTAATGATGTGACCTTTAGCAATAGCAAAAGTATTTGAATAAGTGGGTAAACAGAAATTAGTGTTTGGTGTCTGCAATTCATCAAGTCTAAGGATTAACCTACTAGTATTTATTTCTCTTTCCCTTTTAAAGAGGGAATAAGAACAGAGTGGGCTTAATACGTCGCTCCAGGTGGTGGATGAAGTTTCAATATTTCAAAGTTCTCGAGATCTTTATTAATAAAGTATTTTTAAGGTTAAAAAAATACCCAGGAAACCAAATTGAAAAAAGAAAAATGTTTTTAATTACAAACCAAGTTTACATATTGTTAAACGGTCACTGAAAGCTCAGTTGTAACCACTCCTAACAGCACTAGCACAACCTCTCAGGAGCCACACTACAGCTCTGCCTCGTCCCTGTTGATTCCTCGTAGGCTGGAGCAGCACAGTCATTTGGTGACACATTTACGGAGAACAAGGACTGACTGACATAAAGTACAACTGTATACCCTAAACCAGTGGTCAGCAAACTGTGGCTCGAGCCGGCTCTTTGGCCCCTTGAGTGTGGCTCTTCCACAAAATACCACGTGCGGGCTCGCACGTACAGTGCGATTGAAACTTCGTGGCCCATGCGCAGAAGTCGGTTTTCGGCCTGGGCGAGTCTATTTTGAAGAAGTACTGTTGATATTTGGCTCTGTTGACTAATGAGTTTGCCGACCACTGCCCTAAACATTCCACACAGAGACACTGCCAAGACAATGCATGTGCTGGCGGCACTAGAAAACATGGAAGGTCCGCACACCGTGCACTGCAACCAGAGTGCTGGTGAAGTACGCTATCTGAGAGGGTCAGATGGAACACAGCAGGGGGGTTTTAACACTGTGACATATTCCATACATGTATTATAAAGTACCATTTAATTGGGAAGACATTTTCCATCACTGCAAGTTATAAATACAACGTTTAAAAGAAAACTGCCAGTTTTTACCTGGACTTCTAAGTATTTGTGAATCTGAGACTGACTGGGCCCACCCAGATTCAGGGCAAAGGTAAATGTTTCTGTACCGTCTTTACAAAGAACTTTTTCATCAATTTGGCCCTCACCTACTATAGCCAGACCTACTGAAGCTTAAGGTGTCATTCTTCGATATCTTCTCAGAGGACCAGGATGGATATGAGGAGGGACGGTTTGGGAAATTTGTCTTTCATGTTACTGTGCTATATTACTTGAGCAGCTAAGATAAAGGTATGGTCAGTGAAACAGCAGTTTACCCTTAGTGACTTATAAAAGACAATCTATCCAGTCTGCACTTTTGACTGTGCGCAAAATATCAGCAGTAACGCTGTTAGTGTTCAAGTGAACAGAGAACATCAATCCACCGTATTTCCAGAAGGAGAGCCCCCCACCTCCCAAATAAGAAGTCCTTCGGTGCCATTCCCATTACTGTCCTCACCACGTCAACAGCTATAAACGACTTGGTTATTTATCTGCGTCACACAAATGTGACTTGATTTGAGGTAATCACATAGTCTCGGTCTCCACGTGTAAAAATGTCGCAAGTGGCTGATGAGCAGCAGCTTCATGCTGAAGGGACCCATTTCCTCTGACTCCGAGCTCCACCATCTGGTCTCAAAAAATTTTCCCTCTGAGGGAGTGGCTGAAGAGAGAACTTCGCAACCACAGTGATACCCTACTGACTTGCTGAGAGAGAGCTTTGCATCGCTTAGGTCCACAGCTCTGAGGCTGCCTGCAAGCCGTCCTGGGCACTTCAGGAAAACGTGATGGTGCTGGCAGGAGGTGGCTCTCAGGAATACACAGATGGTGCTTCTTCTCCTTTCAAGTCTTTTCTCCTTACCCCAAAGTCTCATGAGAACTTCAGTTTATAAATGCTACCGTCTTTCTCCATCACCACCCTCCTGGAGGAGGAGGTGAAGGTTTTACACTAAATGTGCTTGAAAGTAAGTGTCAAGAAAGCTGTGTATTAACATAAAAGTGATTCAAGTCAGGACTCCCAAGAAAATCCTGGTAAGTGTTCAATCTCTGAGGAAAATCTTCTAAGTGATTTTCGAGGTGATTAGTAACCACCACCTACAGGTGAGTTTTGCTATTTGTCCATTTATCACCTTTATGTTTTTTTACCCCTCTTAACTTCCACTGAGAAATTTAAAGTAGAAATAAACTGAAAGAATTCTAAACCTGATAGAGGTGGCGGTCTCACAATTCTACATTTAATATGGATAAAACCACTCTAGTTGAGATTTTACTTTTTATAATTAAAATAATTGAAAGGGTATGCATAAGTATTTCTCAGCCTTTTAAAATCCATTATCTTTTAATAAACAAATCTGCATACCCATTGTGTACTTTTGTTATGAAATGTACTGCATTTTCCAGTTCTTTTTTAACATACAGCCTAGTTAAGAATCATGCATAGAGATTTATCTCTCAAAAGGATAAAATAAGCTGGCTCTTCAGCAGCTCAAGAGTTAGTGTTAAAATGACAGCAGCAAATAGTCAGCTTTTCAAAGACCCAGTTCCCAGGTTAGGAGGTCAGGAAGAAAAATATCCATCTTTCATACATATGTGAGTCTTTCACAACAAACAGGGGAATCCTAAACGCAGTCTGTGCAACAGCACATACTTCTGGCTATGTTCACACAGTAAACCATAGAAACACACTGGCTCTGATGGCTACCTGGATCAGACCGACTGACCCAGCGTCTACTTAGTATAGTCATCGGTGGCTTCTTCAGTCAGGACTTTAGAGGCGCTTACCGTGTGCCCACAATCCAGGCAGGACATGCCCAAAGCAATCAGACATTGCCAAATCTGAAAGAGAAAACAGAGTCACGTTCACCAACCTCTCTGAAGAGCCCTCTTGCCCACCGTGACTGCTCAAAACTGGGCTCCTCAGATGCAAACCTGCTCTCTTCCGTGAACATCCATTTGCCTGTCTTCTATCACCAAGTCATTCTCCAAACCCCACAACCCCTTCAAACCATCCCGGACTCTCCTTCTGCGGCCAGGTTTTTCCATATAGTGACAATGCTGAGCTCCCTCTGCTCCTGCTGCTGGGTGCCTGCAGTTTGTTTCTTTTATTGGACTTGGAGTTCCCTAAAGAACACTTTTCTTCATGAGGAGGGGCATGATGACAGACTAATACAACTGGATAGTCTCCGAAACTGCTCTATGAAGTGTATGTTTGGAGCTAAACAGCAGAACCCATTCTAGCCTTAAAAACAGTCTTCAGAATCTCAAGAGTCTCGGGCTGCCTGAGGACACCTCGGCACCTTCATGACCAATTTGCATGAAGGAAGGATTCCCTTACCTTCTACAGCAAATTTTAAAAACAATTCCTGTTAAGGACATATTCAGTTACTTGGATTTCCTGAGAGTAGGTCCCTATAATATATAGGGTCAGCATGATTTTAGTGTGCCTAAAGTTTACTGAGAGCAAAAGAAAGGGATGTATCAATTCAGGACATCGTTTTTCAACATTCACTAAAGTGACTTTTCTCAATCAAGCATGGGGACTAGGTTAACTGTTACAAAGATCAGCAATGAGTTTCCAGCCTCCATCCCTAACCATTCTCTTCAGCAGATATGGTACAAATTCTGCCGTCCCTGGTCCTCAACCCTTGTGTGTTTCAGAGAAACCTGTATAGAACAGGGAGGTGGATGTGTTGTTGCTGCTATAGTCATTTTTCATTAATATAAATAATGCTATAGAAGATTTGGAAAATAAAGAAAAAAATATATCCATAATCCCATCATCTTAAGATCAGTATTACCATTTTTATATAATTGACTCTAGAATTTTGAAAAAAATTTTATTATCTGGGTACACATAATTCTACATTCCTTTTCTATGTGGTTTTATAACCATCACTTTTTAATAATTCTAAAATAATTCAATGTGAGAGTATAACTTTTTATTTATTTCCTTACTGGACAACTATTAAGTAGCAGAGCTGAGCAGGGCTGTGAACCCACATGATCCACCCCATAGCTCTGAAATCACACCGCACAGCCTCCGTCTCCAACACCATTTTGTTCCACTCTCTGCTTTCCAGACTGATTCTCTTTGTTTAGTTCCTACACTCTCCTGTTAGGAATTATTAAGAATGGAAACTAAACAGAAGTGACAGGAATAGAAAGATGATAGCTCTTAGGAACCAAATTTTATGGTTAAAAATACTGTTTAACCAAAAAAGTGTGTATGTATATGTGTGTGTGTATACAGTTTAACCATAGCTGACTTAACAATTTCATGTAAATTATCTCAATAACCTGAAGACAGATTGCTAGGTGCTCCTTTGGGTGCTTCCTGGATGTTAGTCAGCCCCACACTGCTGACTAACTTATGCCCCTGCCCCCTCCCAACTGGACTTACCAAGTAAAACACGAAGCTCAGATAAGCCACACTGACCACAGCAGCCACCACATACAGAACCATATGCCCAAGACTCTGGACATAAATCACGACAAAGTACATGTTGATAGAGCAGATGACAAAGACCAAGATCCCGCCTGCAACCTTCCAGCCCCTGTAAAAGAATCAGCACCGTCACTGAACAGCCCAGCCTGTCCACAACTGCAGGGCGCTGCGTCTCGCGGGGCAGACAGGGCAGGAGTGAGAAGCATTTCAAAGAGGTGTGCTCCCCCTCGTGGGAGCATGCCCACGCCTTTCCCTCCCCGCTCAGCTTCCCTGACAGGCGTCCATCCCCTAACTCTAAGGGACCCAAGAGACTTGCAACCAGGGGAGCAACGGGCAGCAGCAGCTCCTCCCAGACAAACCCCCTACACCTGTCTCCAAGGCCCCCTTTTCTCTGACTTCTAGTGAGTCAGAGCCACCCCACCTAGGTTCTCTCCTGTTGCTTCTTCCATCCTAAGCCCTTCCTTGTTTCACTGTCCCCAGCTTTAATAAATGTACTCTTTAAAAAAAAGAAATAAAAATAATTACCCCAGATTTGGTTAAATAAGCCAAAATTAGACAAAGAGAGAGAAAAAATACTATCAAATAACCTCTATTATTCAAGTCCCTAAAAATGCAACAAGTCATGAGTGTCCCTAGAGATCCAACAAGTAATTTCAACTGCTCTCATATCTGTTAAAGATGTGTATGTAAGGTATTAGCTTATACCGTTCTTATTCAGGTATTTAGCATGGAATTAAGTTGCTTAACACTTCAGCCCTGGCCGGTGTGTCTCAGTTGGTTGGGCATCGATCATCCTGTGCACTGAAAGATGCCTGGGTTATAGGCTCAATCCCCAGTAGGGGGCGTGCAGGAGGCAGCCAATTGATGTTACACTCTCACATCGGTTTCTCTCTCTCTCCCTTCCACTTTTTCTAAGCTAAAGATTGAGGGGGCAGTGCTAGCAACCACCCCTCCAACCCCTATGACTCAGTTTTTGACTGGCCCACGTAATGAAGATATCCTCCCCGCACACAGCTTTGGGGAACTGAGAGGAGCACACTCACATTCCATTGGCAAAGTCACTCATTACTGGCCGCAAGCTCGTAAACGTGAGGATGGGTATGAGAGCAAAGGGAAGCTGGAAAAGAAAAAACTAAGATCAGATGGGGCTGCTGGGGGTCCCTGGATCACCCCAGAGAGTAGCACTGTTAGTGAAAGGGAAACACAGATCCTGCCTCAATCGCCCTATGAAAAATTATTCCTATCATCCCAAATGCCAAGCATTACGTTGAAATCTGCACAGCTGTCATTAACCTAACATCAATTATGATCATAAGGTTCTTTACAAATACTTGTTTCTGCCTTGTCTTAACCTGCTTAGGACCTAGCAGTGTCCTATATGTCATTTAATACTTTCTTGGCTTAATGAATAATAATTTTGTGTCCTATATGTAATTATAATTTATAATTCCCATTCAACAGACTTTAAAAAAACCAAGTCATTTCTAAAAACCTTTTAGATGCCAGGGATTTCATACACATTTACTGCAGACCAAGACCATGCCTCTCTCTTCCTCTAAATTTTCCCCAGCACTTGGCACTAGGCTTGGTACCTAGGGCAGCCCATATGCTACACCTGTAAGCTCTGCAGAACATTGAGGAAGTCATTCATCCCGGTTAGATGCTCTACATCTTGGAAGACAGCAACCAGCAGAGTCGGGATAATGGCAATAGAGCGGGTCAGAATCACTCGGGCAAAGCGTGACCATCTTAGGTTCAGGAATCCCTGGAAGAAAACACAGAAGCAGGATGAGTGTCTGGAACAGGAAACTAAAAAAGTTTTGGAGAGATTCAGGAAGACCTTAAAAGCATGGGATTAATAAGTAACAAAAGGCCAATTTCCCCTTCCTCTAGTGAATACCAGTCAAAGCAGCACCTACCTCCATGACAAACTGGCCAGAATAGGTTCCTGTCATGGTGGAGCTCTGCCCTGCGGCCAGGATCCCCACGGCCCAGATGTAGAGTGCAGCAGGCCCGAAGTAACATCCCAGCACAATACCCTGGGGGGGCGGAGGGAGGGAAGAAGCAGGTGTGTGTTAGGGAACTGCTTAGACGATACCCGAAACAGCATGTCTCTCTTCTTTCCTATGCACCCACCTAAACCAAGGGCTGTGCAGGGCCCTGTCCCAGAAGCTCAACTCAGTCCTCACTTCATTCTAAAGCTTTCAACCGAAATGTTGCTGGATGGTCCTTCTTTCCTTAGCCTAGTCCTTTCTCTTCTCCAAGCTCCTAAAGCCTTCATCCTCAACCTACACCTGAAATATTAATAAAATAAAAAAAGTCTACGCTATATTTCCCAAATTATACTGCTTAACACACTATTTTAGAAGATAACAGGAGTGAAAAGAAAGGTAAAAAAATTTGGGAAATGCTACATACATACATTTTCTACCCCTGGAGGTTCACAATGTAACCAATATAAAAGGGACTGAGCCCCAATGAAGACCACTTTACTAGGTACACTTTCTTCAACTGCACCAGTTAACATCTGGTAGAACACTCTACTATCAGCACAAGTTTGGGAACTGCTGAAACAATTCACTTTTTTAGCTGATCCTTTATTCTTTCTATGTAGTCCAAAATGGTTGCCTAGCATCTGGCCCTCTGAAATAAATGACACTCCACAGGGAGATATGCTCAGCTCTGAAGCGAACCTACAGAAAAGACCAGCTAGTAGGCCAAGAATAGTGATCCAGGGGCAAAGAACACGAATCTGGATGGTTTACCCCTTTGAAGATGTCCACAGCCAGTGTTGAGTTATCATCAGGAATAAGGCCAGTATGGGGACTGCTGCTATTTTTACAGACTTCAATCTGGAAAAGAAAGCAGTTTAGGAGCAACTTTTATTTTCGAGGCCTGGGCCAGAGGAGAAGCGCTCTCCCACAGATCACACACACGTCATCTATGCTACACAGCCTGGAGGCAAGACTGGATACTTCAGGCTGTGATGGGGCAGACACTGGGGGCAAGTAGCACTTGTGCTCTTCCTACATAATCTTTTTGTTTTACTGATTTCAGAGAGAGGAAGGGAGAGGGAGAGAGAGATAGAAATATCAATGATGAGAAAGAATCATTGATCGGCTGCTTCTTGCACATCCCCTACTGGGGATCAAGCCCACAACTCAGGCATGTGCCCTTGACTGGAATCGAACCCGGGACCTTTCAGTTCACAGACTGACGCTCTATCCACTGAGCCAAACTGGCTAGGGCCCTCCATAATCTTTCTGCACCCCCATGTCATCAAAAAGATTTACTGAGTTAGAGTGTGCACTGTTGGGTCATTTTAAATGACAGGAAGAGAGGACCCTTAAGAAGGCTTCAAATAGGAGAGGACAACCAGAACAGGGAGTCCTTAGTCAAAGCAGAGCCAGGAGTCTGAGGTCCTATACATGGGAGCAAAGTGGTGATCAAAACTGGATAGGCAACCAGGAACTGAGAAGACAGAATTCAAAATGACAAACAGAAACTGTTGCCAGGACAGACTGTTTTGTTTGTTGCCTCCTCCCTACCTGTACTCAATCACCAAATGGCAGGACTGGCAAGCAGACTGGCAGTTGATAAACAGGAAACAAAAGGCAAAAGAGATGTGAAGCCACTAACAAAATAGCACAAGGCAATCTTTAGTCTGGGGCGATCTCCCTTCTGAGACAAAAGCAGGGGGAAAGAGTGTAGGCTTTCAGCCCCCAGGCTGCACACGCTGACTAGGGCAGTGACTTAGGGGACAGTATTGAGGCCACAGATCTACTGTCATAGATCCAAGTAATGACATATTTTCCTACCCCATTCCGGCCTTCACATTACCCTCACATTCACTACCACTCAGGACCCTGGCTTACTCACCACCTGCTGGTTGGTTTTCTCAAAAAATGCTTCGGCAAAGACTGAGACGACAAAAACATTGATGATGAAGGAAACAAAGAGAGCAATGCAGGATTCAATGAAAAAGTACTTATTGGCTTCTCGAACTTCCTGCTTTTTGGCTCGGTTTACCTGTCTGGACTGGAGAGAAAATAGCAGTAGTCATTTTTTTTTAAACTATTTGGAACAAGTTTCCTTGTAATATTTCATGAGTTCAGAGACAACTGAAAGATTTAGAGGGCAACAACTGACCAGATGAAATGTGAGAGAATCGCTTACATCCGTGTTCCCTAAGAACTTCGTAACCCTTGGATGACATTACACATTCCTCAAATAGGTAACAGAAACTAAGTGATTACTGAGCTCTCAGTTATTGTGGCTGGAAGAACCAAACACACAAGCAAAAAAACCCAAGCTGTCCTAACAAGTGCATAACCTTAATTATAAAGGTCTCTGAAATTTCCCAGAAAACCATTGTGTAAGACTGCCTGGTGAAAGGTTAGTGGGACTCTTTACCCCTGACCTCCTCAAGGCCGCTCAGGACTCTGAGATTAAAATACAAGAGACTTGTGCACTTTCAGATCTTTTATGAACGACTTTAGTTCCAGTTTCTGTGGGGTCAGTTATCTCTGGTCATAAAACAGAGTCCAGGTGTGTGGGGTGTGTAAGCGTCTAGCATGGAAAATACCTCGCTCCTTCAAGCTCTAACAGTTGTAAACTAAGTGCGTGCCCCTTGCAACTAAAGGACAACATCTCATGACCTCTCTCGGAGTCCAGTGAGATAAACGCCTCGCTCACCTTGACTAAGGCAGAATGCAGGTACATGTTGTGTGGCATGATGACAGCGCCCACGATGCCCACAGCCTGCTGGATCTGTGGGGTGCCGCAGCCTGAACAGGATGGCAGGAACATGCCCTTGAGCACCTCGCTCTGGTTGGGTCTCACTGTAATATACTACATACCAACATAACAACTATTAGCTTGTACTGGAATATGAGACCGAGGGAGTAACAGCACAAGGAAACACTCGGCGTCCTTTCCTCCTTTCCTTATAACCCCTTCTTCTTCAACAACTACCTAGAATAACGAGGAATACAGAACCATCGGAAACCAAGCAGCATAAGGGGCTTGCTGCCAGAGATCAGAGAATTCAACACTGGGGTCCCTGGATATTTTACCTCATATTTTAGATACACAAAATAGATATGTAGAAAATGTAATTAATATTCTAAAGAAATGAAATAGCTGAGCTCTAGCCAGTTTTGTTCAGTGAGTAGAGCGTTGGCCTTCGGACTGACGGGTCCAGGTTTGATTCCGGTCAAGGGCATGTACCTCAGTTGCAGGCTTCCAGCCCTGGTCAGAGGCATGTGGGAGGCAACCAATCAATGTGTCTCTCTCACATCGGTGTTTCTCTCTGTCTCTCCCTCTCCTTTCCACTCTCTACAAATCAATGGAAAAAATATCCCTAAGTAAGGATTAAAAAAAAATGAAATGGCTGCTAAGGGCCTTATTGATATTAATTGCACAATAACTTCTATGAGACAGACCCAAGAATACAGTCAATTCTTAATTATCCCCACTTATGTCTCTGATCAGCTATATTCATCTAAAAATCAGTGATTGCCACTAGCATAAGCTGACTCATTCATAACACTTTTCACACATACTTTTTCCTGGTCCAGCATTTCTCTTGAAAGCCTTAGACCAAGCTGTATAACCTACTCATAGATTAGATATATTTTTAAAAGTCTAGCCAGGCCAATAAACAGCTATCAGTTAAACCAGATATAGAAAAGGGCTGTTAAGGCATATAATGGTACCGATTCCTCGGAGTGTCTGGGTTGGGGCACAAACCAGGAAGCATCCACTACATCCCCTACAGTTGCAATGCAGAAAAGTTCAAACTGCAGTTGATATAAACCAGAATGAGCAAAAACAGACCCCTCTAAGTTAACAGCCAAGAAGCACCCTATAACATCCTCTCTAACCCTCTCCAAAGCTATTCTATTGTCCAGATGGCCAATTTGGAACCAGAGGGTGTAGTCTGGAAAGTCCTAGAAAGTTTGTCATTTATTTTTTTCCATCACCATTTATTCCCTTTATGCCCTCTTCCACCTCCACCCACCCTCTAGTCATCCTATATAATAATCCTATATAATAAAAGTCTAATATGTTTGACCAAACGGCGGAACAACCAGTGGAAAAACCGGTCACTATGATGCGCATTGATCACCAGGGGGAAGACACTCAACACAGGAGCTGCCCCCAGAGCCCAGGCCAGCCAAGGCAGGTGCCAGCAGGGGGCCCTGCAGAGGGAGGTGACCAGCAGCGGCAGCGGGGATGGTGAGCAGGCAGTGCCAGGCAGGCCAAGGCAGGTGCCAGCAGGGGCCCCTGATCGCCCCTCCGGTCGCCCCACAGATCGGTCCTGATTGGAGGCCAGGCCTAAGGACCCTACCTGTGCACGAATTTTGTGCACTGGGCCTCTAAGTTTTTGGGGGTTTTTTTGTTTTTTGTTTTGTTTTTTTTGCTTCTAAGTTTTTGACATAGAGTCCTGCAGACCTTCCTGGACACTAGTCTTTGCTATAGATAATATTCCTTCAAAATTGGCCCAAGACTTAACTGGCTTCTTTTTTTTCTTTCTGCTTTTACTTTATTAACATTTTTTATTTTATGCTGAATTTACTCCTGGGCCATAAGTTTTGCTTCCTTAGTTTCTTCTGGGATATGTGTTTTCTTCTGTGCAACCTCCTCTTCTGGTTTAAAAACAATCTGCTTTTCCAGTAGGAATCATCTCAGTGTGACAGGGAGAGCTCATGTGTGGGATAATCTGTAAGTTCTGTGCCACATCTTTGGGAGCTTTGTTAACCTAGATGTGCTCAGTGTCCAGAGATTCCACATCTACATCCTTAAGTTCAACATTACTCTCTGGCTTTTTAAGCACCTGCAGCAAAAATTCAGCACTCTTTTTGGGTCACCAACCCTATGTCCAGCCCCACTGTATGGCCTGGGCACACCTACCAACTCCACTCATGTCACGACAGAATGCTTTGGTAAGGTGGCATCCTTCAGACACTCGATGGGCTTTTCAGGTATGCATACCCCAGATGGCCTGGGCAGTTTCACGAATGTTCTTAGAGTGAACACAGAGATCTGAACCTCTTAATTTGCATGACTTTTCCTGATTTCTGGGTCAAGTGAATGGCAAACTATTTTCACAGGTTACCTCTGCTACTTACAAGAAGAGGAAGCAATTGTCTTTTTCTTAGCACATCCAATACAATTGAACCATCCTAGCATTATTTTGTCTTTTATAATAAAAACAAAAAAAATTTTTTTTAAAAAGCTAATAAATAGCCTGTCATACTTGCCTCATATCCGAAAGTGAGGGCCATAACAGTGATGAGAAAGCCAAAAAATGCTTCCAGCTTCCGCAAGCCTGAAGGGGAAAATGCAGCAGTGAGTTTATAGGAGACAGAGTTCCCCATCAGTCACATGATGGAAAAGTAGCTTCTTTGCCTAACCCTTCCATTCCCACTCTACTTACCATATTTGTCCAAAAAGAGAAATACAAAAGTATCTGCAATGGTGATGAGAACTCCACCCCATAGGGGAACCCTAGATCAGAGATAAGAAATGGAAATTAAAGGAAAGCAAGATTGAGAAGTACTTTCTTCCCAACAGCTCTCCATACATACAACTTCTGGAGAAGTAAGGACTTGGCGGGAGGGGACAGTGGCAGGAGGCCAGGCCTTGGGTAGTTTAGGATAACATGAATAATATTCACTCACACTTGACTGTCTACTACGTCAGACATTAGGATACGTAGTTGAAAAGAATGGGTCTTACCCCTCAAGGAGCTCATTGTTTACTGGAATAATTTGACATACAAATAAATAACTGTAATACACAATAATACACACAAAAATACATACTGCATAACAGAGGCATATATATAACCCAACACGAGAATTTGGAAGATATAGAGTCTACATCTTCCAGGACAGAGGAAGGTGGTCCTAGATAGGTTCCACAGAAAATATAATAAACTTGAGTTGAATCTTGAAAATTGAGAATGAGTTGGGTTTTTGTTTTTACATTTGCTTTGAAATCTAGCAAAATATTACTTTCTAGAGGGAAACCCCCTCACCTTCCTACAGACAGGAGATTGATGGCAATGGCTGAGCCAATAACTTCTTGCATATCTGAGCCAATGATAGCCAACTCCACCATCAGCCACAGGATAATTCGTGGGACCTAAACACCAAACAGAAGAAAGACATGGTTCTAGTTAGTAACTTCCAAGAACTTCCCCCATAATTTGGAATTCACATTTTGGAACTGACCCATCAACAGTCCTTTATAAGCCTTCAGTTTAGAGATAAAGACCCATCACTGCACTGTGGGCCCTAGCTACAGAAGGCAAGTGTGCTTCTAGGCGGCGGAGCTTATGAGTCAGGGCCTAGGCAGCAGCTAGATCCTAATATTTTTCTCTTTCCTTTCCATTCAAGAGAGGAATGGAATCTCCATTCATTAATTTCCACTTAATTTCATGCCTAAAAAAACGATCCTAAGTCTTAGGGGGAAATGATGATGCTAATATGGTCAAAATATTCTTCAGGAGAGAATAAAAAATGTCTGCAGAAGAAAATATCGATCCTGATTGTAGCCAAAGAGACAAAACAAACGTGAAAAGGCTGGGTCTTCCGTAATGTAGTAACAACACGGAAGTGAAAAAGGACAGATGCAAAGGGACTCGGGGCAAAGTGGTTGGACTGGGTGGTGTATACCAAAATAGGGAGCTAATCTGGTCACACAATGCAGGTGAAAGACAAATCTAGTTAATGCTGGCTCACTGAACACAGAAAAGAACACCTCCACGTGTCCACTACCCAAGAAACAACTGCTAAGATACACAAAGAAAGAGAAGCTAAAAGAAATTATAAATTACCAGGATTTTCTTTTAAGAAGCATATATGAAAAATAAAAAAAAGATAAGGATATTTTCTCACAGCCAGGAAAGGAGATTAAACATTTAGGACAAACCAGAGGTAGATCTCCAGTATCTCATCTAAAGATGAAGCTAAGGCCCAGCCAGTGTGGCTCAGTGGTTGAGCATCAACCTATGAACCAGGAGGTCATGGTTCGATTCCTGGTCAGGGCATATGCCTGGGTTGCGGGCTCAATCCCCAGTGTGGAGTGTGTAGGAGACAGCTGATCAATGATTCTCTCTCATCACTGATGTTTCTGTTTCTCTCTCCCTCTCCCTTCTATTAAGAAAAGACTCTAGCTGGTTTGGCTCAGTGGACAGAGATCAGCCCACGGTCTGAAGGGTCCTGGGTTTGATTCCAGTCAAGGGCACATGCTCGTGGCGTGCTCGGTTCCCAGTGGAGGGCGTGCAGGAGGCAGCCAATCAATGATTCTCTCTCATCATTGATGTTTCTATCTCTCTCTCCCTCTCCCTTCCTCTCTGAAATCAATGGAAAAAAAGAGGAAGCTAGGAAAAAGCTACCTTCTAGACACAGGCTCCACTTCTGCCTCAGGTGGTAGTAAGAAAGGCTCCAAGTGTCCAGAGGGAAGATGAAGAGAACAGTGTAACACCCAGGGTCAGGGTTAATTGAAAAATAATTATTAGAAGATCCAAGATCCTGCCACAAATAGTTTGTATTATAAGGAAGAAACTTACTTTTTTCTAATTGTTAGCAAAGTCAAACAAAAAGAAAATACGGATAATGCAAAGTGATTGAGTAATATGAAGGTATGACTGAAAGTGCTTAGCGCCATGGGCTGGGCACTACTAGAAGCCAGAAGGCAGAATGAATGGTAAATGTTTCCTCAAACAGGATTCTTCTAAGGAAACTTTTTGAAGGAATGTAGAAATGTGGCTTGGCAGCAAGAGGGGCCTAGAGAATTTCCTTGGGACTCCCAGTCCTCAGGCCACTGACCCCCAAGTCCTCCACTGTTTCAGTATACAGTAGTTGGGCCAGCACATACTGCCAGGCACACAGATTCCTATGATGTGAATGGCAGACAAACAGGACAGTACACTGCTCACCTTGGGATACTGACGGTAACAAACTTCAGCAAGATGCAGCCCAGTGACCACTCCCAGTCTAGCCGCAAGGCGCTGCAGCAGGAGCCCCACGATGGTGGCCAACAGAAGAACCCAGAGCAACTAGAGAAGAACAAAATCCCACCATCACACTCAGACAACAGAGGTTTTTTTGTTTGGTTGTTTGGCAATGTGAATGGGAAGCACTACATTCAGGAAAGAGCCCAGGTCAGGAACCAAATGACTCAAGTTCTGTATCAGGTTCTACACATAACCTGGTATGTCTCCTTGTACCCCTCTGAGCCTTAGTTTCTCCCATCTGCAGTTTCTCCTTTACTCAAGGAAACTGTGTGGGTGAAATAAAAAACCAACTATGTGGATAAGATAGAATAAAACACCAGATGGAAAAGTACTTTTCACTTAAATGTCACTGTAGGTTCAGTAGAGGAAAAGGATGTGAGTGTGTTGTGTGTGTCTAAAAGGGACACGGGTAGAACTAGACATTTACCTTAAACCCAGCCACTGCTCCAGACTGCAAATCAGATTCGATGTTTCCTGGATCCAGGTAGGCAATGCTCATAAGAAAGCCCGGTCCCGTGAAAGCCCAGAGTTTCCGAAAGCTAAAACAAGAGTGCTACACAGAGGACAAGAGAGCAAACTGATTACACCTCCATACTGCTACCTATTTGATCATATACAAAGCAACAATATCAGTGTCACAAGAACAAAGGGTTCAGGATGGTGGATATTGGGTGTGTCCAAGTTTCATTTCCATTTTATCCACTTATTATCAATAAGTTGGCCCCTTCTCTGTCCAAGTAAAGAGCCTTTCCCTACCTTTCTCTTTTCCATCAGCCTCTCATTTTAAAACCAGAGTAACAATATCGGTACCTCTGTGCTCAACCACTACCCAAATGGACAAAAGCTGTCGTCAAAGAGGAGCATAAATCTCATACTTCTTTGATGTGAGCATCTCTCATTGGCAACAGTTTTCCAGGCCCTCATTTTCCTAAACAGTTTCTATTTATTCTGATTTTAAAATTCCGTCTTCAGAGACTGTGCCAAAATTAGACCTGAGACTGCTGATCTTGAGCTGTCCAGCAGACCTGTTACACACATTTTCCTTACATAACAACTTTTTCTTCCAAGGACCTGTCACTGACCTCCTCCTCAGGAATGGGAATCTTCTCATCAAAGTAGGTGGTGAAGGGCTCCCCTGATGTCCCGGGGGATTGCGGGAGAGAGGAGCTACTGTAGGCAGGGTTGATGGCACCAAGACTGGCAGAGTCCCCATAGTCTTCAGAAGCAGCACCTGAATGAATAGATTTGAAAAGAATTTTTTTTTAAATGAGCAAACTGCCCTAGCTGGTTTGGCTCAGTGGATAGAGCATCGGCCTGTGGACTAAAGGGTCCGGGGTTCGAATCTGGTCGGGGGCACATGCCCGGGTTGTGGGCTCGATCCCCAGTAGGGGGCGTGCAGGAGGCAGCCAATTGGTGATTCTTTCTCATCATTGATGTTTCTATCTCTCTCTCTCCCTCTCCCTTTCTCTCTGAAATCAATAAAAATATTTTTTTAAAAAAAATGAGCAAACTAACAATTTATCCATAGTAATACTGAAATTAAATCTTTAATACCCTAAAGGCACAAGAGTTACCTGACTATATCTCAATTTATTTCTAATACTTTATTTTTATTTTAAATAAATTAATTTTTCAAATTATTTTCTTAATCCTCACCGGAGGATATGTTTTTATTGATTTAAGAGAGAGAAACATCAATGTGAGAGAGAAACATCAATCAGTAGCCTACAGTATGTGCCCCAACTGGAGATTGGACATGCAACCTTTTGTTGTACGGGACAATGCTCCAACCAACTGAGCCACCCAGTCAGGGAAATAAATTAATTTTTGAATAAGCAATATATTCACATGATTGAAAATTTGAGAAATACAAAAAGGCTTATGGCAAAAAAGCTCCCTATCACCTCCTTCTGCCATCATTCAGCTCTAGATCAGTTTTTTAAAACAATATCTTTTTATTGATTTCAGAGAGGAAGGGAGAAGGAGCGAGAGATAGAAACATCAATGATGAGAGAGATTCATTGATCAGCTGCCTCCTGCAAGGACCCCCGCTGGGGATCGAGCCTACAACCCTGGCATGTGCCCTGCTCTCCTGGTTCATAGGTTGACAATCACTGACCTACAATAGCTGGGCTCTATACCAGTTTTAACACTACTCTCACAATGATTTTCCTACTTTATACTTCTATTCCCACTTGGCAACTTTTAGAACCATTTCATTTTCTTCTAAGAACACTGATGTCTAGGACTCAAAATATAACATTCCCAGACTAGCCTCTTGGGTAACCTAAAATCCTAACTTTTACAAGAAAAACTAGGTCAATCTAGTGGGGGGACACACCACCATCACCACCACCACCCCTCCTAATATTTGGTAGGACTTACTCAAAGAAACTTCCTTGGACATTATACCTCCAAAAGGCTTCTCAAAAAATGTGGAAGTTGCAAAATCCTGCCACAGTTCGGGCTAAAATCTGAAGTTGCAGGAAAACCACCAAGCAGGAACCCCTTTGCCTCCTGACTAAGGCCTGCGTAAAGAGCCGCAGGTCACGGGGTGACCCTCGTGATAGGAGAACTCATCTAAGACTGATAGTGTTTCCCTGACCCTGGCATTTTACAGTTAATCATAAATGCAGGGAGGGGTAGGGACTGGAAGAAAAGGGCTAATCTGCCAAAAAGATACAAAACCAGGATTGCTGTAGCCATCAAATGACTATTTTGAACCACAAAACTCTAATCTCAGTGTTTCTAAGAAATCCTTACAACCTCCAATTAAAAAACAAAAGCTTTCTTTCTATATGGAAAGAAAGTGGCCCAGAACTTATTAAGAAATTTATTTTCAGCCGAAACAGGTTTGGCTCAGTGGATAGAGCGTCGGCCTGCGGACTGAAGGGTCCCGGGTTCGATTCCTGTCAAGGGCATGTACCTGGGTTGTGGGCACATCCCCAGTGGGAGATGTGCAGGAGGCAGCTGGTCGATGTTTCTCTCTCATCGATGTTTCTAGCTCTCTATCTCTCTCCCTTCCTCTCTGTAAAAAATCAATAAAATATATTTTTTTTAAAAAGAAATTTATTTTAAAAATATTTATTAAAAAGGAATGGAGCCCTAACCGGTTTGGCTCAGTGGATGGAGCGTTGGCCTGCGGACTCAAGGGTCCCAGGTTCGATTCCGGTCAAGGACATGTACCTTGGTTGTGGGCACATCCCCAGCAGGGAGTGTGCAGGAGGCAGCTGATCGATGTTTCTCTCTCATCGATGTTTCTAACTCTCTATCCCTCTCCCTTCCTCTCTGTAAAAAAATCAATAAAATATATTTTAAAAATAAATAAATAAATAAATAAATAAAAAGGAATGGAAATTCTAAAGGGAAAACTTAGAATTAGGAAGGATTAGTCAAAGCAGTCAAGAAGCTCTAATCAAATACAGTATAAGGTGCACACCCAGTACTTTACAGCTCCATACAGATCTGAAATGCCATCAGCAGCCAAAGCACTCTAGGAGGGTTTTATGACAGGCATTACTACTATAGAAACCAAACTTGTAGCTAAGCTTGGCTCTTCCCAGAACTGGAAACAAGATGAGGCCAGTCTCTGTAGTTATAAATCCATTTCAGCCTAAGTCACCAGATGGTGACTTCTGAATGGAGCAGATCTCCATTGGCAGAAGAAGGGCAAATGGGGACATATTTTGTTGGGAATAGACAATGAGAAAGAAAACATGATAAATTTCTATATCCAAATAACAATTAGACAATAACACAAAAACTATAAATTACCATCTGGCATCTTCTGTTCAGGCCCCAACACCATGGTGTTCTTAGAATAGGATTCTGGAAAGTAGAAAAGGGAAGGAGAGAAATGAACAAGAACTAACAAGTTCAGCAACAGCATTTTGTACTCTATACAACCAAATCCTTACTATATGAAAAGAATAATTCTTCTATTGAATTAGATAACCTTGAAAATAATTAGTTTTCTGAGTATGATTAAGGGATATTTAATAAAAATGTAAGTCTTAATCATGGTTTTGCTGGCAAGATTTCAAAACCAAATTGGAGCGGGCAAATGTTTTGTTTTTTTAGAAGCAGGTCCTCTGGAATAGTTTAGCACCACGTTCCCCACAAACGTGTGTTGCATGACAGGTGAGGGGGCGGACCCCCTCCTGCTGCCCAGGACCAGGGGCTGCACCAACCAGTCTGATGTCAGAGGCAAATGCTTCTGAATAAACCTCCACACATGGGCTGCCAGGCAATCTTATTGCCTGTGCTTACCTCCAGATAAATCCAGAAATCAAGACTGGATTTCCATTTTTGAGTTTTTAATATTTAATTGATTTTTAGAGGAGGGCGGGGAGGGAGGGAGAGAGAGGAAGAGAGAAACATTGGTTTGTTGTTCCACATATTTATGCATCCATTGGTTGATTCTTGCATGTGCCCTGACCAGGGATGAGACCCGCAACCTTGACCTATGGGGTTGATGCCCTAACCCTCTGAGTAACCTAGCCAGGCTTCATTTTTATGAGTTTTTAAGGGCAGAAATCTAAAACTCTCTGACCTAACAATTTAAACTTGAGAAATAGAGTGGAGAAATAAAAAAGGGTCACAGTGGTTATGCTGCTAAATTATTAACTTCAAGTAGGCTGAGGCATCAAAAAAATAATTATTCTTGTTTAAACTGACTCTGGGAACTTAAGCTTTTGAAATTTCCAGTCCTACCTGAATATCAGTGCATTGTGCCTTTGATGCTTCCAATTAACCATCTGAATTACCTCAAAAAGAAAATGTTCCAGTGTCTAAACCACCAGACATCTGAGGATTACCATCTTGAACCAATGTGAGGACTAAGAATGCAGAACTGATTCTCCTCAAAAATGGACTTTTTACTATAAAACTCTCAGACTTTTCTTTCTCCTCAGGAACACTCTTGGTATTGCCTAGTAGTTGGGAGGCTTTGATTAGAAATAAATTACAAAGATTTATTTAAGGGCCCAGCCAGTGTGGCTCAGTGGTTGAGCATCAACTTATGAACCAGGAGGTCACAGTTCGATTCTTGGTCAGGGCACATGACTGGGGTGCAGGCTCGATCCCAAGTGTCGGGGGGTGGGGGCACATGCAGGAGGCAGCCAATCGATGATTCTCTCTCATCACTGATGTTCCTATCTCTCTCTTCTTCTCTCTCTGAAATCAATACAAATATTTTTAAAAAATATTTATTCACGGGCCTTATGCTTCAATTTCTGGAAAGGGGAAAAGCACCTCACCAGCACACCCATAGTGGAGGGCCACTATTCCTAGCTTCATGTTCCCGAGGAGAGATGTCAGCTCTAATGGTTCAGGTCTCACTCCCCAACCCTTCAACAACTGGGAGAAGAAACTAATGACCGTGGCCTCCCCTCTGGACTTTCAGGGCGCGCTGAAGCAGGAGGGCTGGCCCTGGTTCTCCAGATGCCAGCAGTCCTCAGTCCTGCAAGAAGCAACCTGGGGGGACGAGGAGGTGTCCAACATGTCCAGTTTTCTGTTGGGTTAAGTTCAACTGGGTGTGAAGAGGTATGAATAAGCCCATTTGGCCACAGATCTGTGGTGTATTCTCCAACCAACCGCGCCAATAAGGCTTGATTTTTTTAACCTCTGATCTACTAATTAAGGAATCTACTTCTCAGTCAATTCCAAATTCAGAAGGGGAAGACAGAGTAATAATAACTTTCCTACTGAAAAAGGTATGAAGACTTCCCTTAGCTGACTTTTACTGTTTAAATTGTCTTTTCCACTTATGTCCCTTTGTTCCTCCTAACTGAACAGTCCTCTACTTTCTGTTTTAGACCATCTACCTACCAACATATTCTATATTATACCTATCTCACAGAATTATAGAATTCAGACCCAAAGCGGGTTTTAGGTTTCATCTATCTTCTGAGGTATAAAACATACCACCACTGACTAATTTGGAAAACATTTTTCATCTCTGCAGTAACCAATATCAAGTATTTTGTTATAATGTATGACTAGCCATATTCCTCCTATCAGGTTTTGAGCCACCAGATGGCTAACACCAGGCAAGAGATCCCAACCCCTCTTTCAGCCCGTTACCACAGCTCCTCACCAATGGGATTTACATTGATAACTCAGAGTAGCAATAACCACTTGCTTCCAATCACAGTACAGCCCTTGGCACCACCCAGAGCCTTTTACTTATAATTCTAAGAAGCCAGGTAATCAGGTTATCCTAGCCCACAATGAATTAGAAACCACAAATCCGATCCGGGATTAAGGCTTTCACAGAAAAAGACCTTGGGCCATTGGTCTGAGGCAAAGAGCCCTTCCTTATACTTCTAGTAGCTCTGAGAACATTATTATTAAGGATAATAATTATCTTATTATTAATCGTATAATTATTATTGTTATATCAAATTTCTTAACTGTGGCCTACTCACCAAGAACTGATTAGATTATTTTTGTAGTGATACATGATATCCTATTTAAGAAGACACAGAAGTACTTTTATACATTTGAGGAAGATTCCTATCCAGAATAGGCTACTTAACTTATATTTAAAAAGCAACTAATTGAGGCATGCCCCTCCCCTTCCCCCCAGGAGCACTCTGGCACCTTTTCCTCCCTTTCTTCTTCCCCCATAGGCATGCATCTTCTAAATCCCAAAGGACCCTACAAGACTTGCAACCAGGGACACAATGGGCAGCAGCTGCTCTTCCCAAGCTAATCCCCTGAACCTGTCTCCAAGGTCCCCTTTTCTCTGACTCTCCAGTGAGCTGACAGCAGCCCAGCCTGGGCTCACTTCTTTTCTGGAGAGCCAAAGCAGCCTCACCTATGCCCTCTCCTGTTGCGTCTTTTATCCCACATCCTTCCTTGTTTCCTGTCCCCAGCTTTCATAAATGTACTCTCAAAATAAAAAAATAAAAAGCAAACAATTGAGATAGTAGTGTGTTTCCCCACCCCCAAGCCTATAGTCTGCAGAAGTGATAGTTAAATAAAAACTCTAGACAGAAATATTTCATGATAAAAAAATTAATAATTATCACTATTCTAACTGATTATTCCTATACTAATTACATATAGAGCCATTAATATAGAAGTCTAGTCTTCTCTCTGAAATCTCAGGAATGTATTATTCCAAGAGAGAAAATTGATTCTAGATTCCAACTTTCTCATCAAAACTTTTCATTAACAAACTACAAGTTCCACTGTTTGTAGTGTATATAGAACATAACTAGGACAGGGAACAGAAAGGGCCAGTTATGCTTGGTGTGCTGCACAGTTTTTAAGCCTCCATGAAAATTTAAGATACATACGGAAGCTGTAAGTTAATATTAAGATAGTTTTGCTCTCTAAGGCCATACCACCAGGCCATTTTCAGTCACTCAGTTACATTAAGGAAAAGATGAAGCTGAGATATAAGCAACCAGAATCAACTCAGCAATACTGTGATTATTATGATTAATACTGCTTTGATATTCTAGATCACTCCAACCATAAAGTATCACCTTCTCTCATAGCCAGTAAGATTCATCTTATTAAACAGCAATCAACAACAGAAAAGTGGTTAAGTATTTTATCTTATCCCTTATCAAAAGTTCTAAGACTGTTTTACAGTATGAAAATGCTAATAAAATTACATTTTCTGTCCAAAATGTCATAAGTTTACATATCCTTTGACTCAGCAATTCTACTTCTAAGAATACATCCTAAACACTCACATAAGGAAGTATGTGCATATTTCTCATAGCATTATTTGTAGTATCAAAGACTGCAGTATCAAAAAACAACCAAGATATTAGCAGAGGCCTGATTAAATAAACTATGAACATTCATACAATGGAATACCATGCAGCTATTATAGATAAGGCAGATCTACAGATATTTGTAGGAAATAATCTCCAACATTTGATGTCAAGTAAAAAACCAAACAAACCAATTTATAGAACAGTATGCTATCATTTGTGTAGGAAAAAAAAAAGAATACACTCATGTACACACATATACTATCTCCAAAGGACAATAAGTCAAAAACTGGTAATGCTGTCCCTAAGACGAAGAAGTGGGGGAGCCCAAATGACATTAGGTAAAAGGAAGACCTCTCACTGAATATACACCATACACCATTTTGTTCTTTAAAAAAACTTTTACCATGTGCATTTCTGTATTATTTATTTTTTAAAAATATATAAAGATAATATGGATTTGCTTCTTTTTTTCAATTAGTTTACTTTCAATAGATTTTGTATTGGTTTCAGATGTGCAGCATAATGGTTAAACAATCATATACTTTACAAAGCATTCCCCCTGGTATTTCCAGTACCCAACTGGCACCATACATAGTTATCGCAATATTATTGACTATATTCCCTGTGCTGTACTTTACATCCCCATGACTATTTTGTAACTACCCATTTGTATTTCTTAATCCCTTCACCTCCTTCACCCAACTATTAGACTCCCTTCTAATAGCTGTCAGTCTGTTCTCTGTATCTATGAATCTGTTTCAATTTTGTTTGTTCATCTATTTTGTTCTTTAGATTCCACATATAAGTGAAATCATATGGTATCTGTCTTTCTCTGACTGACTTATTTCACTGAGCCTAATACCCTCTAGTTCCATCTACGCTGTGGCAAATGATTGGATTCGTTTTCTTTTTTTTTACAGGTTGAAGTAAAAGATTGTTTATTTAGCAAAAAAAATGTATAAAACACCTCAAACTTGTATAAATGAATAACAAATAACCATAAAACCATAATTTCAAGAGTTTTTCTAATAATGTAGCTCTAAGATAAACATTTTAAAGAAAAAAATTAATGCACATATGTTAAAGAATCTC